TTTGTTTTGGTTTTGCTTGGTTTTGTTTTTTTTTAGGACTGACCCTAAAAGCAGGAGACAGCTCAACAAGGTGCTGTTCATTATAGTGCAGGTTCTTCCTGACAGCAGTAGCAGCCTTGTGTAAACTGTCTAGAAGCTTGCTTTATACACAGTTTGGAGTATACAGGCTTAGGTGTCTGTGTCAACAACATAAAAGTTCATTAGAACTGAGATCTGAAGGGCTTCCTTTCTGGCTCTCGGGTGCCAGTTGGTTTTGTACTCATGCCACCATGTTATGTAGTTTTGGCTTACAAATATTTGCTATGTTATTTATAAAGCAGTTGTAAATTGAATCAATAATCAAGGTAACTCGAATAGAAGTAACTGAACAGCCTCTATGAACTATAATTTCCAGCCAGGAGGAGCAGTAGGGCTGTATTTGCAGCTGCCAGCTGTCTGGTGACTGTAATCTTGATTTGTTAAAGGTAATGAGAGAGCTTGCAGGAGCAGGGAAGCGGTCATGGTAAAAAACTTGTTTGCCTTCACATTTATGTGATGAATCATATGTAGACATGGTGTCCACATGTGCACACTAGATGTGTATGTGTGTTTTTGCATATCTTAAGTGATTTAGTTGTGGGAACCCAAAGAGGGAGAAGCAAATTCACATGGTACTACCAGCTCAAAATACTAATTTAATATACTGCTGCGGAAGACATTCCTAACAGTGATTACAATATATTTAGATTAAACATCCATGCAGGTGTAATAAAACTCTGAAAATGCATTTTTTATCTAGCTTCACTCTTTAAAAATCAAATACTGTAAAGTGAAGAAGCTTGATTAAAATAAGATGGATAGAATGTTTCCAAAAGACAGGCAACTGCTTGGAGGACTGCAGCACAGGGATACCAACTATTAAAAAAACCCCAAAACGACAAACCCACACCCCAAATAAACATAAAGAAGTTGACACTTTGAAAGTGAGGACAGATTTCCTGAAGGACTGAGCATTACAAATCAGTTCAAATTAAATTTGAAAATTCATGTTTCAATTAAAATTGAATTTTAGTTTTCCAAAAGACTTACAGTTACAACTCCAGATAGGGTTCTGTTCCGTTCCAGCAAATACCATTGGATGCAGCTGGGCAAAAACTTCAATGTTAGTTTAATGTATCAGAGGATGGGCGTTGGATTACCTGTTGTGCAGAAAAGAGATTTTTGTTGTATTTTGTAAATACCACCTCTGTGCCTAGTGGTAGCAGCCTAAAACCTTTTTATTTCCTTTCAGTTTTTAAACTTCTTATTGAACTGAAATCCTGGAATTGTGTTCGTTTTGTTTAAAAGCTATGCTTATCTTGAGCACTTTGTATGCACTGCATTACTTTAGTCTTCAGCATACTTCCACATGTCAGGCACATGCAGTATAGGAATGGTAAAAAAGTGAAGTAATTTGAATTAAGCCATTCTAAATCCTCAGAAGTTTTAACTACTTCATCCTGTCACAGTCTTCTAGAGTTTTGCTCTGCCTGAGGTTTGCTTTTCTTCAAGAAAAAAAGAAAGAAAAAGCAAACCCAAATTCTGTTTCAGCATTTACTATTTTATCACTTAAAAGAAATTTAACTGAAAGGGAAACATGACCTGTTTCCGCAGTAACTGTTGTTCCCACATAAAATATCATAGAGATAGGAATCCTTAGGCATTCTAATATGCTTTCCAGAGTAACTGCTGTGGGCAGGGCTGCAGGACATAGGGTGTAAGTCATAGATGCTGCTAGCACTTTCTCTGTATTAATGTGTTATTGTTACCACCCTTGCTGAGCTTAACTGACTTCTGAAATCTAGTAAAGATATTAAGGTTAAAGCAAACCATTTTCAGACCTATTTAATTTTTTTTCCTTAAAGTTGAACTCTGAAAGTTTCAACTGTTGAGAGACTGCTAGTTGAAAAGCTTTGCTGTATTACAGAGGGACAGTTAAATACCTTTAACTGAGACTCATGCTAGGGTGAGGTGGTGACAACACTTACAATGCATGTCAAGCAGTAGGAAACATAAAAATATAGTGCCTGATAATCTGCTTCTCTCTTGAGCCACTCTCTTTCACTTATGAAAGGCTGTGACTCATCGTCGTACTTTAACCTGTTCTGCTTGGGTAAAGATAGCTGACATCATTGTTGAGCAGAAAGTAAACAGGGTGCCCGTAGCCTTTTATACAATAGAGTAAGAAATAGAAATAAATGGAAATAAGAGCACTCACCCAAGAGATGCGAGATCTGGATTCAGTTCTTTCTGAAAACATTCAAGTGCACATTTCTCCGCTCTTAAGAAGAGTGATTTTACTGACTGAAGCACTGAAACAGAGTTTAAAATTGATTGAACCAGAAGAAAAACAATAAGAACCTTTTCCGTTTCTCCTACTTAACTGTCCTCCTGTTGCTAGTTCCCTTTATTCTGAATTTCTCGTAGTATTTTACCAGTTTAAGTTGAAACATTTCAAGGTAACTTTTTTTTTGGCAGTAAGAAGGTTCAAAGCATGTTACTGCCTGTCAGATAAGATGTGCTGATTTAGTTCCATGCTATCATGTAACAAAGTCTGGTTTTAGTAGTTACTAAAGAAGTTGATTTTAAGAAGACACTTTCTTAAGAAATAAATTTCCTATGAAAGTTTTGTTTTGGGGAGAGGATTTAAGAAGCGCTAATGGGATGTTTTTTACTTATTCTTTGCCACAATAGTAAAAACTAATGCCCTCAAGTATCCTATCCTAGATCTATATCAAGATCTTTCAGTAGAGAATATTTGATGTCCCTTAACGCATTGTTCTTTTAAGAGCTTCTTAACAACACCGTTGTGTAGCGCTCTCTGGACTCACATAAAACGAAATGTAGACTGACAAGTCCTCTTTTTCCTGTCTGTCTGATGAGGACTGAAGTTCACTAGTGAAAAAACACACTCTAGATCCACAAGCACACACACACAGTCACAGATCTCTTGACGGTCATTGTGGGCTCTCTGCTCAGCTGCTGTCCATGGCTGGATCGTGAGCTGTCTTCACTCACTGTGCTTGGGTTCTACTCACTGGCTTGTTCAGCTTGATTCTCACTAGCAAACAGATGCACATGCTTGCAGACCCCTGTCCATGCCTGAGATCCTGGGCCTCCCACTTGCTCTGCCTAGTCAGTTTGCCAGCAAATTAAACTGTGATCCTCCACACCCACCACCCTGTTTTGGGATTATGTAAATTCCCTCATCACACAGAGCTGGTGCCCAAGCCCATGGGTCCTGTGACCTGCAGTCCCATTCCAGCTGAGGTGCTGAGATCTTCACTTAACTTCAGTCCCCCAGTCGCTGGCATCCAGGCACAAGGGGCCCTATGGACTATGATCCTGCCCCAGTGGCTGATGCTGGGGCCCTCACCTGCTCCAGTTTTAGGGGCCCCTTCATCCAACGTTTGACACCAGTTGCTGGCCCCGAATTCATGTTTCTAGGACCTTGGTTCTTGGCCCCTCCAGCTACTGATGCTGAAATGCCCACCCACTCCAGTTGCTGGCCCCACAGACACAGGTTTCTCCTGTGATCTCATCTAGTTCCTGGCCCAAATTCAGTCATGCCAATATCATTTGTGAGCACCTAATCCTTACAGTGTTCAATGGGCTAGAGAGGGGGGTTACATGGTAAAACAATCACAAAAAGATTCCTTACTGAGTTTTGCAGTTTCACCTGTCCCTGTCATCAGTTATAAAGTCCGGGCTGGCTCTCTGCCTATGGGTTCTTAATGACCCATTAATTAGTGACTGGAGCCTTTCCTTCTTTGTGATTGTTTCTCTTAACCCTCTTCTATCACGTGTGTATCACTGTGTGTTTTATTTATTACTTTCTTGTTACTTGTATCTCCCTTTGATAAGGCTCTTGATCTGATTAACCTTAATGAAGCAGGTGCTCTTGTGTTCAAGTACCCTTACAGTGTGTTGCTTTGGTATCTTTTTAAAAATTAAGTGGGTTCTTTTGCAGTAAAATATGTCAGGGGACAAAAAGCATTTTTAAAGATACTTTCTTTTATGTTTTTAGGTTGTGTTTTGTTTTGTTTTAAAATAGCCGACTCCTGTTTGTGACCTAGCACTTCGAGCATTCGTGTTCTAAAATTTCAGTTAAGGACACTTTTTCAAATATTCTCAGCAGTGTACAAGTGTAATACAACGTGGCATGATGGAAGTATAAGTGGTTTTCCTTGGGGACCCTAGGATTTCTGTATGAGAAGTGTGGATTTTTTGGCAAAGGAGACTATTCATGGCACTGTTGATAGAACTATAGGCACTGTGGATTTGCAAAGCAGATTCAGTATGGATGTCCAAACAAACGGCAAGGATAAAAGAAATATCAAACAATTGTTTTATTTTCACCAGGTAGCTTTTCACACTGTGAATTGACTACAGCTTTTTGCTATGTGTAATCTGTTAGTTTTCTTCCACAGAGCTCTGTGAAAAGGATCTTTTTGGCTTTCTTTGAATCTTCCTTTATCAGTTCTGTGATGAGTTACAAATGTAAAGTGGTAGTTTAAAAATGTAATCCTAACCTCCCCTATTGCTGAACCATCTGCTGCTTTGTGTTCTCTTTGCTTCGTTGTCTTGCCCAGTGGAAATGTAGTATGGCACACAGGAATATGAAGTTTAGGGGATCTTAATGCCTTAATGGTTTACTGACTTAATAGCTGAGTGGTTCACTACCTGGAAATATAAGGGAAGTACGGCATTGTTTTGCTGTCAGGGTATGATTAAGTAACTCCTTAGATATGCCAGTCAGTTCAGTCTGAATGTGTTTTGAATTCTTTTGGGATGAGCACAAACCATGGCAATAACTAGGATTTTGAATGTAAAGCTGAAAACTGATTTATCGGTTTTGCCCCTTGATAAAGTGACATTTCATTGTTTAGTGTGTTGTGCTGAGCATAGACATGAACTAGCTCAGGACAAGAAAGTTATTTCTAATTTTTATTATAACCCTGACGTGTCATTTGTTTTTGCAGACAGTCATAGATGCCCATATCTTCCCAGCTCTTATAAATATTTTGCAAACGGCTGAGTTTCGGACAAGGAAAGAAGCTGCTTGGGCAATCACAAATGCAACATCTGGAGGCTCTGCTGAACAGATCAAGTAAGAAATTGTTAAAATGTTGCAATGCAACATGTGAATTGATGTTTGTGCAAGAAAAGAAACTATCAACCTAGAAACTGGAAAACCTTTCTGTATGCTTTCAGTGTTGTATCCAGAGAGACCATGTCCTTGTTGTGAATGAGCCTTTCATTCCTTTAGGGAGAAATCACAAAAGTATTTTAGTTGTAATGTTTATTTAAATAATTGAACCATTTCTCTTACATGAAAAAACTAAATGCAACTTTTAAACTAACTTCTAAGTGGTTGTAGAGTGTAACAAAGTGCATTAGCAGTCTGGAGAGGAATAGTTTGGCACCTCAGACAATGGCATCACATGTATTGCTTTTCCTGTTTAACTTAAACTGGTACATTATGCTTATATGCAATTTTGTATAAAATAAAATAACTTTTTAAACATATTAACTTTTAACATAGTTGCTGTTTATATAAATTTATGGTACAAAAAATAAGTAATTATTTCATAGCTATATAAATGAGGGTTCAGAGAAGGTATTTTAAAGTTATTTTGTTTGTTTCAGCAGAATTGACTAGACACAACTAGATGTCTGTAATTTTGGTTTCTCCAGTCAAGTTGATATTTTATCTGATTGCTCTGGTTCTTAGACCTTCATGCTAAGTGCTTAAATGGCTACACCAATTACAATTTTGCAGACAATTAACTGGGTTCCATACGGTGTTTTTCAGGTATTTAGTAGAACTGGGATGCATCAGACCACTCTGCGACCTCCTTACAGTAATGGACTCAAAGATTGTGCAAGTAGCACTGAACGGGCTGGAGAATATCCTGAGGCTTGGAGAGCAGGAATCCAAACGCAGCGGCACTGGCATTAATCCTTACTGCGCTCTTATTGAAGAAGCGTATGGTATGAGCAAAACACCTAAGCAAGTCAGGCCATAAAGCCAAGATCATGATCCCATTAGAGTTTCAGTAGATCCAATTCTATTAATTACCTTCTCACTGTTATCTGAAAATAACCTGTTCTTTGATAAGTCTTCAGTGTACTCCGTTTTTTTACATGTGTGTAGACTGAAAACAGTGTGTGCAGATTTTCTTTTATTGATTTCATTTGTCCCTGAGAAAGCCTTCTGGGAGTCATTCAGTCATTTCAGATAAAAGCTCAGGTGCAGTGCTCTGTTGCTCAGGTTTCAAACCTTTCCCCCATCCCTTTCTGCTGCCCTGCAGAATTATGGCAGCAGCTGCAAATTCCTTGTTTGCCTCTGCTATGCTAAGGTTCTGGCATGTACCACTGTGATTTCATCTCAGTTCTGAGCTACTGCTGCTCTTAAGTTCTTATTAAGAAAAATAAAAATGGGTATCAAGAGCAGTATAGAAGAAGATAGCATCATTGAACATGGTTTCTTGAACCTTGGTTCCCTTCATGGTTACCTCGACTTCCTGGGAACAGTTATATCAGAATAGGATTTTTTCTTGCCTGCTTCTAGGTTTCAACTGATATGAAAACTTCCCTTTTCATATGTGTATGTATATGTATATACACATTCAGGAATGTGTATATAGTATCACAGAATTGTGTACTCTAGTCTTCATACATAGTAAAAGGAGTAGACAAGAAAGCTAGTACAGTTCCCAATATTAGAGATTTACTGAAATGGCTTGGATTTTGTTATAGCATCATTCCTTGCTGTATTATTTTCCTTTGTATCTGACTACAAGGCCTGAATTTGCCCATTTGCTTAATGCCTGCCCAAAAACTGGTTGCTTGAGTTTAACTGCATTGTATATATATGGGATACAGATTAGATAATGGAGTCTCCATCCTTGGAAGTTTTGAATACCCATCTAGACACAGCAGACCTAATCTGGTGTTGGTTAGTACTCCTGGGCTGGGTTGCAGGTTGGACTGGATGATTATCAGAAGTCTCTTTCAACTTGCTTGAGTGATTCTGTAGTCATGGTCCTTGTAAGGAAAGCACTGGGAACACACTTACAGGAAATTTGGTCCTAAAAGTCTTTTCAGAAGAAGTCTTTGAGTTTGAGGCCTTGTTCGTCTTTACCCATTCAAGCCTGTGGATTTAATTTTTGGGTGAAAGGGTAGAGGCAGACAGAGAGTACGAAACACATAACACAGTTACAGGGAACTCTGTAGTTCAACCTGTTTTTCCTTGGTTGTGGAGAGTACAAGTTGAGTAAAGGGGCCTGTTCTTTCCAAAGGTTGGAGACAGTTGTTATCAAATGTAAATGTTCACAGCAGACTGAAAACTGTCATGGTCATATGCTTTCACTGAGCTATAACTTTTATGTACTTCTTTTCTTTGCAGGCCTGGACAAGATTGAATTTTTGCAGAGCCATGAGAATCAAGAGATTTATCAGAAGGCCTTTGATCTGATTGAGCACTACTTTGGAACAGAGGACGAAGACAGCAGCATTGCCCCACAAGTGGACATCAACCAGCAACAGTACATCTTCCAGCAGTGTGAGGCTCCCATGGAAGGCTTCCAGCTTTGAGGTGCCCTTGTGCTGTGTGCTCCTCTACCTAGCCAATCCTGTTGTCGAGCCACAAGCCACCCGTGGAGTGATTCTCTCAATGTTTTCCATAACCCTGTTTGCGCTCATTCGCTTGCCTCGTGCACATGCTCTTACATACATCTGGAAAACTTTTGGCTCTCCATGGCAGGATGCCCCCTCCTTGGCAAGGGGTCACCAGAATCACCCTTCTCCTCTAGATTCTGAATCTCTCCACTGTCATCTTCGTGGAGTTGAGGCACCTTTCTATACTTTGAGATATTCCCTGTTCCTGTTACGGGAAAATAGTCCCTCATCCACTAGCCCCCACGCTCCTGGCATCCAAGAGAAGGCTGTCTGCTTTTCTCTTTTATTTGCTGCAGTATGTGCCTGCAGTCCAGGGAGATGTTCAGCCTTTCTGAGAACGTAGCTGAATTCATCCCCCATGTTCTACCCTGGATGCCTCTTTGGATAGCGGCGAGAGATGAATTAAACCTTCACATGCAGCGTATCTACTTTGCTGTATGTGCCAGCTGGGGTTATTGGCATGAGGAACATGTTACAAATAATGGAGTAAGTTCTCTATCCCGTGCAACAACAGGCTGCAATGGACATGTTTTGTGGTTCTTGAGAATATTGAACACATCTGGCCCCATCCCGTCTCAACACTGAGCTCCCAAGTTGGATTGCAGACCACTGTGGAGATTTGTATACCTTCCCAGTTTTTCCTCTCCATCCACAAAAAAAGAACCTGTGAATAGGTCACTCTTATCACCTCCCCAGAAACGAGTTTCCAAAACAGCTTCTAGAATGGAGAAACTGCCCTCACTTCTGCTTGCCAGCACAGTATGATCCAGCTGGGCCTTCCTTAAAAATCAAGTCCTTTCTGACTTCATCCTCCAGAGTCTGGTCCTTGTTATTATAGTTATGGCTGAAAAACTCCTGTCTGCCTCTTCACATTTTTACACAGCGTGACTTGAACAGATTTGTCTTCTGAAAAATTACCTTCCGAACACAGAAATCTTAATTTGTAAAACTTAGCACAAGGAGCATTAGATCGCCTTTTCATTTTCACAAGACAAGAGCTTCCTCTCCAACTCACCTGATGGAATAGAGTCCTCCTGGTCAAGCCCCTTATTTAACAACTAAAGTGACACTACATTCAAAGGATAGTACTATTACACCTGGGTCCACCTGGCCCTCTCATTTCATTTTTCCCTTTTGCTGTTTATGAGACTTCAGGTGAATTAGCATGGAACGCATGGTTCCTACAGGTGACATCTGTAAGGCATCGCTGACTGCATGACAGCTGCCACTTGCAGCTGTGGACTGCCCTTCTGCTAGCAGCATGTTCTTGGCTCCGCAACCTGCTTGGATCACAGACCTCTGATGCAAAGGCCAGCCACTCCTCACTTGAGTTCAGCTGACACTGACACCAAACTCTTCACACAACTGGGGAGATGCCACGTGATTGAAAGTGGCAGTTCCATTTTGAAAAATGCAATGGATTCCCTAGGCCGTCCGCTCCCCCCTGCATCAGGCTATGTTCTTTCAAGCCATTTTGGATGCTTGGAACACACATTTGTCCAATGTAAACATTTCAAAATCGCCACTGCCAACTGCAGCGTCGTGGACCTGTGGTACATGTTAGTGGCAGAACTGTCTGCAAGATCCTCATGACTCCTCTCAGTGATAAGCCACTGCAAAAGCAAAACCAGCCCATTGGATACAGTTATAAAAATACATAAATCACTTGTCATACTGCTGAAAGAAGCTAGGCAAAGGCCTGAACATCAGCTCTGTGTGACCATTATTTAAATAAAGTCTTCAGTTCTGTCTCTGCTTCAGGATGGAGACTCTGACCTGTGTGGCCACTGCAGAAGCCACCTGCTGCCTCCCTAGCTAAGCCAGTTGGCCTCCACTTTCCCTCTCCCAGTTATTTTCTCTAGTGCTGCTTTGTGCTGAAGGAACATTTAGTTTACTGCACTTGATCTGTAAATGGACTTCAATTCTTTGTAATTTTAGGGGGTTAAATTTGGTGGTTAATTTAAAAAAGCAAAAAAACCCCTCAATGTTGCCTTTACATCACATATAAATAACTGTGTTTCTCTTTTCTTGAAGGGTGATAGAAGCACTGATTAGTAGCAAAATCTTGTTTTAGCTTTTGGATTTTTTTGTGCTGGATTTTTTTACGTGTAAATTTCCAATAACATGTCATTTCTATAAGATTTGTTTAAAACCATGTACCTCTTATTGGATGGTATAAAAATGCTACATATTTTGTAAACAAATCTGAGCAAAGTGTGTGTGCATATATTCTGTATATTCATATATGTATATTCTGTGTATATATACACTAGCGTGTATATATACATATATACACACACACACATATATATATATATACATGCATAAAGTGTGTGTATATATATATACATACCTATATATCTATATATATATAAGTGTTTTCTCTTCCAGGCTAGTGAAAACAATGTGGTGCATTGGCGTTTCCCTCCCCTGCCCCCCAAGAACGTAATGACAATTGCCTCTAAATGAGTGAATTAAAAAAGAGTCCATTTAAGCTGAATGGTGTGCCTTCCTCTGTAAGGAGCCTGGCCATTATTTGTTACTTTTGCTGTGGATATGTGAATTCAGAGCAGATAAGTATAAATCTTTAAACTTGGTATGTTTGTTTGAAGTGACAGGCCTGGTTGACACAGGTAATATTGTTGTCATAAATACTTGGACTGTGTAAGGCATTTGACTGGTACTGCATAATATTTTGACTGAAAACCACAACAATACAAAAATCAACACGGCACACATTAAATGGATTAAAATGTGGCTAACTCATAGGTCTCAATGTAATTTTAAATGGTGCTTAATTGAGTGTATTTCCATCAGGATCTTCCAGCAACCAGTCTTGGGGTTGCTTTACTTAGCCTTTTTAATAGATTGAAAAGAAACAAAATCTACTTCTAACAAAGGCTGCAAATTAAATGGGTACGGAAGGGAGATCAGACTTGTGCATTATGAAAGAAATGATACAGACTGATCAGAATTACTTGGCAAGCCAAGGGCAAGTAAACTATTTGCATTTTAGCAGACCCAAATATGTGGCATAACGTTACCCTTCTAATAAATAACATTCAGGCCACAGGTGAGGACTCTCTTTTGGAGGAAAAGTGCTGCTGAAAAGATGAGGATCATTATATGTTACTGCTTGGACACTACTTCCTAACACAATTCTGTGTAGCTATGTCCCTGCTAGAAAAACTGAAACCAGTATTCTTTGCTCTCCTGAAGGATGTGCTCAGACAGGGACCATCTCGGAGAACGGCTCTAGCTGCCACTTTTGTGATGGTCACACTGTGTTTTGCATGATCTGTTGTTGTTTTGTATCTACATAGGAGGCAGCTGCTCTTGTGTAGAGGATAGGTGAGGGAACTGTTGGGAGTTCTTGGGTTCTTCTCTTAGCTCTGCCAAGCAGCCTGTGGTGCCAGAAAAGTGATCTCGTGTTTTCTTCCAAATTGCAATGTATGCATTTGTTTCTGTCTACTCGTGGAGATCCAATCTAAGCACCTTCCAAAAGCCCCGCAGGCTGCTAAGGTGAAAAGGTTCATGAAAATTTCTCCAGTTCTTTCTGCAACATCAGTAATGAGGTGGAAACACTGCACTCAGGTTTTAACAATGTCTATTTTAAACTGGCTGTTAGAGAAAGGAAGATGCAAGACTGCCTGGAATTGCTGTCTTGCAGTTCTGACCACAGATCAGTAATGCCATTTAAGTTGTGTATTTGTTGGGCCAGCAAACAGGAGCTGTTATTTTTTTGTTGGTAAATTCCCCAGTAGAACACGGCAGGGTCACTCTCTTGGATTCAGGAGGATACAAGAGATGATGGGGCAGGTTATTGAAAGCTCAATAACTAAGCCAGGACCAGTGCCTGGGGCTCATGGGAAGACACCACATAATTATTTGAGGCAACTGCTGCCTACAGACTTCAACCTGTTCTTAAATTCCTGTGTTGGTTCCTTGCTGCAAACCAAATACTGGTGGTTCAAGTCCCTTCCTCTAACATTAAGAGAATGGAGGAAGACAATGACCCCCAAAGACCTGTGTGTTCTTGAAACTGCATTTTTTTTCTGTTAGCACCAAGAGTGTTGAAGAACTAGATGGTCCTACATGGTACAGTGCTCTTGCTATTACACCTCTGTTCTTCTCTGAGGATTTCCAGAACAGCTATCTTATCTCTCTGCCAGCTTAAAGTAATTCTCCACATTTTTCAGTATGATTTGTCTCTGGAAATTGGCACAACATACCATTGGTACTCTCCAATGCCAATTTTAGACATGAAGGTCTTTCTTCAGTTGCCTGAGTTGTAGCAGAAAATAAACAGGACCTGTTTGTGTACTGCTGTGGCCATGTCCATAAGGCTCTTGCATGCTCTTCTGAGGCAGTGCTGAAGTTGTCAGATTGATCGTTGCATTTGGAAGTTTCAGTTGCCTTTGGAAGAGGTACAGCAATATGGCATATGGTATCGAATTGATAAATTTGACTGTTTTGAATAAATGTGAATGGTGTTACAGACCAAGCCAAAGGAAAGAAAATTAAATACTGTTTAAGGGCTTAGTATGTTCCTCTCCATCACGCACTGTTAAAAGGCTGCAGGCTAAAGCTATGAGCTGTCAGGTGATCCGAGGTGTATTCAGTTCTCCAGTCAGCTGGACAGGCTGCTTCAGCTAGAAACACACGGGTTTTGTCACCATTGTCTGTGTTTAGAAGTGCTTTCTTGGAAGCCATCACACTAGGAAAGAGGTGGTTTCTTTCACTGCCTAAGAAAGATTTACATTGTTTTTCTAGTACCCAGCTACTTGCAAAGAAAATACTGCAATGCTTGGGAGTGAGCTGGAGATAGCACAAAGCTCCTTGTCTTGGGGTTTTGTTTGAGACTCTGGAGCCTATGTGGAAGTTGAAAGAAAACACAAAGGTGGGCAGTGACAGATACTGAAATGGTGGAGATACTAGAGTGACAGAAAGATACATGGAGCTTTTGTCAAACCACTGGACCAGACTTCAATATTTGAGTACATGGTAAAAATTTATAGAAATTTAAGTAAAATGGAAAATGATTACCATTGCTGCTCTGAGGTGTTGCTTTCTAAGGGGTATTTTGCAAATTTTAATTTGAAGTACTTTACCAGCTGGATGAGTCCAAATAGTTTTACTGTTCCAAAACTAAAGGAGGTACCTTTCAGTTCTGTTCAAAAGAGCACTCAGGTGCATATTGAAAGGGTAATATTTTTGGAACGCACAGTTTTAAGCTCTGCCATCACCAAGCATAAATCACAAGTTTTTCTTCAAGGAAACTTGGAATACCATCTGAAATGCATGTTCTGTTTCTTTGGTCTTATTTAATACATACATGATCACATGTAATCTGGCATGTAATCTGGCAAGATTTATTTTGGTTCTCACCTGTGTGCCTGCTGTGTGGCAAAGAACTAGAACTGTCATGGAAAATCTGTTCACGTACCTGCAGTGGAATTAAATGTGACTTGCATTCAGTGCTCATTAAGTGGACAAAGCTGTGGAAGCCTGCTCTGCTTGACTGACAGCTTACTTGTGATAATTTCCATTCAGAGAATCTGATGGCAGGTCATGGTATCACCTGAAGGTTGTAGCTTCTGTGGTGGAATTGACTTCACAGCTTGTCTGACTGGTTACATCTCATTGTGATATCCAGAATTGCAATTCATAGAAAGATGGCCTACAGCAACGATTTTCTAGCTCTGAAGTAAAGGACAAAGCTACTAGAAAGGACTGCAGTAGAGATTTTACTGCTTCTCTTTTCCAGGTATAAAGAGAAGATTTCCCATGCATTTTTGTAGAGCTTTTGATTCACTCAGCAATAGTGCTAATTTTTAGTAGTATAACAAAACTAATCTGGAAAAAGTTTCAAAAAAAATAATTTCCCTCCTGCTATGAGCAAGTTCACAAGCTAAATCTGTCAAACTGATATATATGTCTCTTCTCTTTTTGGAGTCCTCAGGACCAGTGAGCAGGCAGTGCTGGGAAGTAACAGGTTTTGAGCAGTCCTGACATTTCCAATCTGCATTTCCTTCCAAATGAACTGTAAGGAGAAGGAAAAATACTATCTCTGGCTGCTGCAAACTGTTCAGCGTGAATAGTGTGTGACTCTTTGGGCTCAATGCCAGAATTAGAACTGTTGGGAGTTGCTCTTTGCAGGTATTACTGGGACTGCCACTTCTAAAACATAAGGCAGGTGATCTCTAGGTGGGCTAGTAAAATGAAAGTACAGATGACGACTTAAAGGGGGAAAATACAAATAAATGAGATTTGAAAAAAAAGAGCTTAGTAGCAGAGAGCAGGAATGCCTGATGGACTTTCTCATACTCATGTGCCTCAAAATACTAAATCTGACAGTACACGTTGAAGCTGTTGCTCAATATTCCTCAAAATTGTCATCTCTGTTCCAGCTCTGGTGTAACAACCATTAGGTTGTCAGCTGCAACACAGTGGTTCTCTGGAACGCTGTTTCACTATCCATCTCCCTCCTTGTTTTACTGAAGGCAGGCAGTTCTTCACAGAAAGCAATCCCTCACTTAAATGCAGCCAGAATAATTGCACCTAGAGCGGGTAAGCAGGCTAAGTTATGATCATTTTGATGATGTTAATGCAGGTCAGACAATTACTCCTGACTCGAGGGCTCCCTTAATAATTTTTCTGTCTTGCACAAAGGGAAACATACAGAATAAGTATAGCCCCATTCTTCCATATAGCCCCCTTCTTCCTGAGGGGACCTTGAAAGGACCTGAAAGAGCTGCTGATAGTGGATGACTGCCCAGTGAAGGTATTTTGTTTGTACAAGTGGAAACTAAATGGACTGTCCTTTTGTCGAAGTCACCTTCTTGTAAGTGGTAAGTAAGACCTTTCATAAAGGGGATTGGTACCAAGAATGCAAGTACAGCTTCTGCAGTATTTTAAAAGATGCTTAGTCTAGTGCATAGCATATATGGGAATCAATTACTTTGTCTCTCCAGTTTGCTCATGTGTCCTGTCCCACTAACCACGAAGAAAAGAGTTTGAAAGAAAGGGGCAGTTATTAGCAAAAGAAAATAGGTATTTCCAGGTTTAGTTATTAATGGATAATGTATTCATTCTTTCTTGAAAATGAGTGCACAGAACTAACATACAGGAAAAATGTGACTATATCCTCCTTTCAGTGCTGAAAAGGACTTCGCTTTTCTTCCCCAGTTCTTGCTCTTCATTTCCTCTTTTAAGGTTTAGCAGATGCAGTACTTTCCTCTCTCCACTGGGCTTTCTTCTCCAAGTTTATGTTTGTAAGAGTTTCATGTCTTTTTACAGCCTACAATGTAATAAGATCATCAGTTATCACCTGAAGGACCACAGAATTGAAACTTGAATTGATAGCTTACAAAATATTTGGCCTATCCTTACCGAGGCACAGTTCTGTCAGCAGTAATGCCAGGAAGCAAGAAGGGTAAAATAAAATATCCAGAAACTATTTTGGCTGAAAGTAATTACTTCTCTGGGAATAAATTAAAGCCTTTTGTTAAGGCACTAGAAGATACATTCTGTGCTTCTGGTCAGTATTTAATACTAATCTCCGATCTTCACAAGTCAGAGGTACTAGAAACAAAAGTTAAACAGAATCACAGAATCTTCTGAAATGGAAGGGATCCCCAGGGACCATCGAGTCCAACTCTTTAGTGAATGGCTGGCCCATGCAGGGATCGAACCTGTGACCTTGGCGTTATTTGCACCATGCTCTAACCAACTGAGCTCATCTCAGGAAACATAAATAGTTTCAGCGTCTTTGAAAACAAGGTTTCCAAAGTAGCTGTCCTCACTTCCTGGTGTTTGAATTCATATTACGCCAGTACAGAGGAAAATGTTCTGGGAATTGTCAGTGTTTGATCTCTTCTGCTAAAGCCAGGGAAAAATCTTTGCCCTGTTTAATTTAGAGTGCTGCATCCTTTTAATTTTCATAGACAACTGCAGACAGAAATGTCATTTGACATTCAGCAATTCACAGTACTGAGATTGAGACTGTCATAGTTTTAAAGTTTCTTTAGAACACTTAGCAGTCCATAGAAACAAGATCTGAACACTGTCATCAGAAGAACTGCTTCAGAGAAAGGCAGCATACAAGGAAGGTTCTTCTGTGCATGCAGATGGTTTAAGCTCAGAGGTTTTTTTTCTTTTAAAGGAAGCACATGCAATCTTAACAGTGACATCACCCTTTTCCAATGGGAATTAGTCAATGAGGGTCACTTCTGGGGAACTAGGAGGACTTAAAATTTTTGTTCAGTGATAAAATGAAAAAACAAAAAAACAAAGCCCCAAAGCAAGACAGTACTAAAAATCCAGAGGAACCGAGAAGTTTATGTGAAGATTTGCACTCATCAACCAAAAATCTGTGCTTACCTGCTTCCCTCTAATCACCATGATGATGCATCCCACTATTGTCAAGGCAATCATTACATAGCTGAACTTCACACGCAGTGTGGTCTTTGCTGCTCTGACTGTTTCAATCCTCAAGAAATAAGAATAAAATAACAGACTCATTATCAGAGACCCAAGTAAATCACTTGACTAATTGTTTAATTTTTCCTAGCATGCTAATGCTAATAGTACTTGGCTCTTTTCACAAAAAAAGTTTTACAAGATGGGAAACACTGATCCCAGCTACCCTGGGACATACTTGGTCCCAAAGACATTCCTCTCAAAGCTGGAAACAAACCCAGCTTTTTTATCTTTGGTTACTTCACTGTTAAGAGACATTAATGCCTTTGCAGACCACTTGACTGCAATGCAAATGAGGAAGGCTGCAGCATTTAAGTATGTATGTTCATCATGGAAAGAACAGGAAAAAGAGAGGGTTTAGTAATGCAATGTTTTTCTTACTGTGAACTCCTTCTGTGCTCACTACCATCTTCCAATATCTGCAAATCCAGGGAAAACTCCATACTATAACTGTGATGTATTTAGCATTGTAAAATGTGCGTTTTTCTCTCAATAACAGAAGTACGGTAAAAACCATTTGTGAGCAAGAATAACATACAGTGTTTAACAGCTGGGATTTTCTTGGGCTGAGGGAAGCCATTTCTACTGCCTGAACTTCAGAATAGTTTCGTTTATGATACAGTCTATTTTCCAGCAAGGCATCTTCCTCTACTACAGGATTTGAGAGATGATACACTGGCTGCTGAGTACGGTGCTCAGAAATTCTGAATAGGACTTGGTAAAAGACCAGTGGTTAGCACTTCCCTCCCGGTAAATAGTCTTCAAGTAATCTGTTTTCCTAAGAAACTAAGGAGGTGTGGAGGAACATAAGCTTTCCACCATCAGCTCTGGACAGAGGAACCCTTTAAATCTTTTTTTCTTTTTTCCTCCATAATTTCAGGGGGCTTACCTAGCCACACCAGTAGCTATACTACTCCTTTGGGAAACCTGTTACCTAGTTTGCTGTTATCTTTAAAAACCAGAAGTCTTCCACAAGAAGAGTAGCGGTTATTAACACCTTCCAGCTGTACATGTGAAGAGTTAAAAGAAAAGACCATTTATTTTAAGTTGGGTTAAACTCTGAAGATCATTCTACCCAAATGACATATTGGTTACAACAAATTTTAAGTTTGTGTTAGAGCAAAGTGAGAAGGGCCAAGGAAGTGTTAATGCTTTTTGGATGCGCTTCCCACAATAACCAAAGACCTACAGCCTATATATTTAATTCTCCTTGCAGAATTTAGAGCAGGTGACTCCCTTCTCAAGGAAGTCTCATATTCTCACTGATCAAATTTGGCACATTATAAAGTTCCAGAAGACCTGAAAAGGATCAACAGTGCATGGTGAGAAGAATAAATACATCACACTAGGTAATTATACCCCAAAACTAACACGGGGAATGGATTTAATGGAACTGGGAAATTACTACTGTACACAAACATGAGTGAATATGGAATCTTTTACTACATTTTGACCCTTATACTTGGAAGAAAAAAAAGATACTTAAGGATCCACAATAGTTCAAAGTGGTAAATCACATAGGACCTGAGAGCTGAAAAGAGTTTTGCTCTTGTTTTTGTCAGAGTATTGATCTGATTGCAAGATTTCTGATCATAGGGAACAAACACATCCATCTACAATGAAACTAATAAGTTAATTTTAGCATCCAGGTTATTTGTTTCTGCTAACAATCTGCAATGAATGCCTTGAGTGCAAGCTGCAATTAAGCTGAAATGCACAGAAGTAGGATTAAAAAAAAAACTTTGCTAATTAATTTTGGAAGTACCTTAGATGCGTTAAGACTATATGAGAGCAAAAGGTAGGTATCTGAACACAATTTGCATTTTAAATCAAGTCGGTGGCTAAGATTAATATTTGTTTAATAAATGAGTTACTTCTGATCACCACATTTTGCAAGATTACTGAGTTATATCACAAGCCCTTACAACCCACAATTTATCTCAGAACAGGAAAACAAGTTTTTCTGCTTTTATAGTTCTCAACTGTCTTCTCACATTTGGCTGAATTATTTGTCTAAATAAAAAGAATTCCCTATGCATTTGCACAAATGGTCAGCTTTTATCAGAATTTGGTTTGTCCTTTCAATAAACTACTGAAATCAATCACTGTTAACTTTGTTTTCTTAAAAACCCTCAAATATATGAAGTGATAATAAGTTTTAATAATTTACACCTGTATGTATTTCAAATGTAAATTTAAGAAAAACAATTCAATACAAAATTGAAGAATTCCATTTTAACAAAATTTATTCACTGTGATACATTGAGATACATGGGTGGATTTCCAATTCCCATGCAGTGCATCCAAAAAACCAGAAAATATTTAGAGGGCAGCTACATTGTTTTCTTACTCAAGTAGTGCAAGATTTACTGTATCTTTTTAATTTAAATAAATACTTATATTTAAAAGCATTATGAGCATGTTTTAAAGGATAACTATACTACTACTAGGAGTGCTTTTTAAACTGATAGTTGCTGGTTGTTGATAAGTTTGATCTTCATTTTAGATATGCAAACCAGAACATCCAGTTTTATTTTCTACTTTTCACACAGGACAAAGTTTTGACATTTGGACTCCACCAGCAACAGGGGAAATTTTGACTATATATATTTTGTTAGGGAGCCCTTCCCTCCACTGTTCCTTAGTTTAAATTCCAAGACTAAAGAAAGTAGGCCCATGCCCTCTAGATATTCATTAATAAATATTTTATATAAGATTCAATTATTTTATAGTATATCATGAAAGTTTTCCACAAGGGGAGGCTGACATATAAAGAAAAAAGCTCAAGCTAATGTTTGAAAAAAGCATTTTAATTGTAAGACAAGAGTGAAAAATTGACTGATCTGTGATGTTTTTCTAATGAAACAATTGATAAATGCTGGTCATCCCTTTGCAAAACAAATCAAGAGGGATATATTATCTCAGCAGAACAGAATTGCTTAGGTCATCTCATCTACAAGATGTTACACCAGACACAGCAGTGTAAGATTCTTCAGCTGTGCAAACCCATTCCATTTAAGAAGAGTTATTCTGGAGTTGCATTCAAGTAACTTATTCCAGCACAGACAAAGTCTCTTTTACAGCTTCAAAACTGACACTTACGAGACAGTCTCTGGTATGTCCTCTGGTTTCTTGAAATGGCCTGCCCACAACAAAAATCTTTTCTCCCAGTCTGTAGGCTTGTATCCAGGCACCCTCAAAGGAGATCGACCTAAAAAAACCCCAACAAAATGCACAAACAAAACAAAACAAAAAAATACCACCAAAAACAATGGTCAGGGAAGCTGGCTTGCCAGAGCTGTAACAAAACCAATTAGGGTGAGCAATGCAGAATTTTAAATATGATTGCTAGAGTTGGTTAGAGAACAAGAATTGTATCACAGATTAACAAATGTGGAAATATGCATTAAACTGAGGCCATGTAAAGAAAGCTAAATCTATCCCAAGACTTCTGTATTAGCATGTCTAAATTTGCAGAAGCTGCTCCAGCATCTAAACTTCCTGAAGTGCTGTGATATTACAGTTTTTCTATTACATTTAAATTAGTTTAAAAAAAAAAAAGAAAATTAAGTGGAACAGCTACAGAAAAGCCATTGTGCTGCACTGTCTGATCACAGAATGTTAACCTTTTCAGGCAGTGAAAGATTTTAACTTATTGAAGGTACAAATAACAGATAACCATAGGACAAGATCAGACCCTTAATTTTCAGCTCAGTCTTTCAAACACCATATATAAAGTATTCATAATGCAATAGAAGAAAGCTTTCATACATAAAATACCATTAAAATCTAGCAAAGGGCAAAGATAGACAGCTTTTTCCCTTTTTTTTTTTCCTTTTAAACAATGGGAGGTATCCTGTGTGGATCTGTGCTCCCTCATGGATTCATGAATTATCTAGGTAGTGGGGTGGACACACAGTTTGCCAACAATGCCAGGTTATTAAAAAACATGAGGGCTGACCCCAAAGAGCCACAGGGCTTCAGAACCCTGAGTCAATGAGACGGCCCGTGAGTGAAAGCCCTTGTATATTAACAGGAAGCAATTCCAGTTCACATACAAATGACAGACTCTAACCTAACTGTTATTAATTATTACCTGAGCCTGAGGAGTAAGTCCTTGGGGTTTCATAGTGGTTTTGGCAAGATGTTCAGTAATAGAAAGGAAAACAGCATAACTAGCAATGATTAAGAACACAGACAAACACAACAGCATTACTGTGCCATTGTATAAAACTGCAACTCCAGCGTTTTGGAAAGCATGTGAAATACTGATCCCTCATCTCAGAGGGAGCTGAAATAGAACAGGCACAGGGAAAACTGGTAAGGACAACCACAGGTATGGAATGGCCACCATGTAAGAAACAGTGTCACAGACTGAGACCCTTTGGCCTAGAAAACCAGTAATTGAAGCTCTCCTCAGAACAAAAGAGCATTGTAAATGACATTGGGAGTGTGGGCTACAATGAACAGGCCCTGTTTTGGAAGGGGTACTGAATAAAGGAAAATCAGATTATAAAAAAGTACACATTGGGTTAAAAAAGGAATACAAGACAGTACTTGTTTTTCTCACAGCATGGTTAAGCTGAGGAATTCCTTCTTGGAGAATGTGGATGCTAAAAATACATCCAGCTTCAAGAAACGGGGCAAGTTTATGAAGAAAAAAAAATCCAGTGAGGACCATTAAACACAAAGATGCCACCTCTGGGACAGTATAGAGGAGGAACACTATGTTTGCTGTAGGTCGCATTCCCATTAGTCTTCACAAAAACGTAAGGGATCTCCTTTACCAGGCACTAGTGGAAACATCACACTTTAAAGGAGACCTCTTGTCTTACCCAGTACAGCTGTGTTATGTTTTTAAAACAGAAGCATGCCAAATGCTTCACATCTGTGTGCTCCTTTTATCCTGCATCAGTGGGCCATAAGGGAACCTGTTATACAGGAAGTCTGGTTAGAGCACGGTATCTGTCCCATATATAGTGAAAAAATGTTTCTGAGCTTTCCCTGACCAGCTCCACCCTTAAACATGAATCAAGGCAACGATTCAGACTCTCTTCTGCAGGGCATGTTCAATTTTGGGAACAGCTGTAGCTGGTTGCACTCTGAAAAACTGCAAAAGTATTTTAGCTCATACAATGTTCCTAAACATTAATAGTTTACACTGAGGCTGAACAGCCATTTCCAGAGCACAGCCAAAGAGCCTCAGTGTAGGAGTGCACACCAGATAAGACACGAGTGACCTTGCTACAAAGTGAAAGCTGTGTTATCGTCACAAGCAGAAATATTGACCCCTGGCTTTGTTAGAAAACAGGACTTTATTGCTAAATTTAATGCTCAATTTTCCTGTCTGCAGATCAAAACTCACTCTCACAAAATCAGGGACATCAGCATCCATGTCAGCCAAATTCCTGTTCAGATGACTGCAGCATGGATATCTGAGTATTCAGTGGCATAAAACACAGCAAAATCTTATCAAAAACTCTTACTCTTTGACTGAAGTTGACTTTCTTCCTGGGGTTTAATGCAAAGCCTTCTGCTTATCTTCAGATCCACTCCTTCAGTCATCCTTAGAATTGAAGGAATATTTCTTCCCAGCAGTTTAACAGCCCTATCTGGAAGAGAAAACAGAGGAAGCAAAGAGGTCGAATTTAACTCAGAGCTAGTAGAATACTAGCTTTTCAATGGAAATGTTTGGGGTTTTTTTAAAACACAAGAGAAAAAAGAAAGAAAAACAATAAGGACAAATGTAATACAAGCCAAGAAGTACCAGATTTAGTTGTAATACTCTATGAAATTAAAACTTGTCTATAAGCTATACCTTAAGCTTGTCCATTAACTTTGATTAGAAAAATGAGAATGCAATTAACATAATTTAAAAAAAAAAAGGAATACAAGATTACAGCCTACAAGCAATTTCTAAAACACAATGCATATCACAATTTCCAGAAACTCATCTATTCATATGCTTCAGGTACACTTTGGATGTTGCTATTTCTGGGACTGCACACCAGCATTCTACCAATCCTGTCATATGCCAAAAGCAATGCCAGAGTCAAGGAAAAAGACAAAAAAGCAGAATCTTGCTGTACAGAGAGATTAACTACTTTCTAATACAGTAGAAGACGTCAGGGCACCTCTTATACAAGAACAGACTTTCTCAAGGGAGCTTCTAATTCATCAATATAATTTAAAAAATCTGGGAAAAAAACCCAAACCAACACTGAAAGGCAAAAAGGGCACTTTTAAAAAAATAAAATGAGGGGTTTTTTTTCCTCCTTTATGCTGTCTGAAGGTATCTCTTCCAAGAGAAACCGCTTTGGAGGCATAATGCGTTCCCGCTCTGAAAAAATAAATCATTTACATTTACAGGCGACCGCCCCTAACGGAACCAGACCCTTTTCAAGGTCTGCAGAGAAGGAAAATAAGAGGCACAACTCCATTCCTGACACTGTATTTAACGCCACCCATCAGACGAGGCCGCTCACGCCTCGTTTCGCCGCCGCAGCGCCCGCCCCGCTCCGCGCTCCCGCCGCGCCGGGCCCGGCTCCGGCTCCGCGGGGTCCCGGGGCAGGGGGCGAGCCGGCGGCAGGCAGCCCCCGCCCGGCAGCTGGTGCTCGGCCCCGGGGCAGTCCCTCACTCACCGGCGCGGCCCCACATGGCGCTGCCTCGGCCCTGCTCGGCTCCCCTCAATGTCACCGCCGGGCCCCGCCCCGGACCCGCGATTGGAGGCGAACGCGCCGCGGAGCGCTCGGGGCCGCCGGCACCGCCTCTGGTGGGGCGGCCGGAGCTGTGCCCGCAGCTGCGAGCGGAGAAGGGGTCGCGGGGCCACCGCCGGTGGAGATGCCCGGCCGGGGGGCCGCTGCGCCAGGGGCCGCGCTCCGGCGAGTCCCGCCCCGCTCCGCCCCACGCGTCATCCCGGCTCCCCGCCGGATTGGGCGCCGCCGCGCCCTCGGCCGATCCAGGATGGCGGCGCCCAGCGGAGCCGCGGGCTGCGAGGACTTCGCCGAGTTCCAGGTAACCCGGGCCGGGACGGAGCGGGCGCTCCCGCCGCCCCCGCCGCCCCCTCCCCGCGCCGCCGCCCCGCGCGCTCCCGCCGCCCCCCGCCGCCGGCCCCGGGGCAGCGCGCGCCCCGTGCGCGGGGCGGCGAGGTCACCCCATCCCCGCGGCCGCCGGGATGCGGGGCAGGGTCCGGCCTTCCCTCAGCCCGCTGCCCTCACCCCTCCGGCAGGGAGCGGGGCGGGGGATGCCCCCCGCGCTGGGCCCCTTCCCGGGACGGAGCGCTCGCGGCTCGGGAGCCTCCGCGGGCGGCGGGAACTGCGGGGGCGCCTTCGCGTCGTTTAAGTGAGCGTGAAGTACCACGCGTGTCTTCAGCGGTGCGAGCATGGCCCGGGGCGGTGGGGACCGGTCTGTTTCTAGAGCACAGAATCACGGAATATGCCGAGTTGGAAGGGACCCATCAGGATCATCGAGTCCAACTCCTGGCCCTGCACACAGGACACCCCAAGAGTCACACCACGTGCCTGAGAGCATTGTCCAAACACTTCTTGAACTCTGTCAGACTTGGTGCTGTGACGACTTCCTGGGGAGCCTGTTCCAGTGCCTGACCACCCTCTGGGTGAAGAACCTTTTCCTGATATCCAGCCTAAACTTCTCCCGACTCAGCTTCATGCCCCCCGAAATAGTGGGAGTTTTTATTTGAAGTTTGCAGTTTCAGTTGAGGTTGTGCCCAGATTCCTGCCTAGAAGTGGAGATGGGGACTTGGGCTTGGGCTTGGGCTCTGCTCTCCAGCCTGTCCATACTGCTGGCAGGGCCGGGGGGCTTTAAGGGGCATCAGTTACTCACCCCATCTCTGGCCTTTGCTGCCAAGGAAGCTCAGTGGTTTACAGCACATACTCCTGCATGTGGGAATTGTTCCTTCGGTGCTTTTTTAACTCTCTATAATCAATCCTACTTAGTTTTCTATTAAAAACCTTAATTATGTAATTTTTTTTTGTAGTAAGCTTTTCTCAGAGATAGAACCAAGTATCAAGCTATATATTTTTTTTTTAATACAGGAGCTGCTCAGGGTGATGAGGACGATCGATGATAGAATTGTCCACGAATTAAACACTACGATTCCAACAGCTTCCTTTGTGGGGAAAGTTGATCCTAGCCAGACGTGTAAAGAGCTGTATGAGTCTGTGAGTGAGCACACCTTTGACTTTCAGGTCACTTCCTTGCTGTTTTGTCATGTTCAGGGCCCAGTGTCTAAGGAAAACACTGCCTTGATATATCGTGCTTTGTGTATTCATAACTGGCCCCTCAGCTTCTCTGCACATCTAAACCACATGCATGTAACAGCTGCTTCAGTTTAAAACCACGCTTTGTTCTGCAAAGCTGATCTTTCGGGGAGCACTTCGGGCTTCAGCAGATGGCATTAGCCCAGTCCATCTTTTCTTTTAAAAAGGATGCTAGCACGTTTTTCCTGCTGTTCTGCAAGACTCCTTATGTATACCTTTGACTTTTGATCAAGTTGGTAGCTGCTGCTCAAAGCAGTGTTGCTTCCAACATGTGAATTGTGGAGTCAAAGGGATTTCTGTAGGTACAACAATACTGACTTCAGAAAGTTTCGCTTTTAACTTGTACCTCAGAGTTTTTTGTTCTTTTTGAGTTGTTGTGACCTTCTTTCTCTCCCCACTTAGTTGATGAACGCTCACACCAATAGAGAAAGAATCATCAAAAACTGCATCGCTCAGACTTCCAGTGTAGTGAAAACTCTCAGAGAAGAGAGGGAAAAGGCCCAGGATGATGTAGCATTATTAAAGCAACTCAGGAAAGAGCAGACAAAGGTGAGTGGTGGAGCTTTTTAGAGATCTCTTATAGAGGAAGAAGAGGGTATCTTTCCCAAGTGGAAAGAGAGAAAGAAGTAATGGAGAGAACCTGAAGTGGATCCTGACTCAGGCAGTCTTTTCTGGGATTCTTGTTGACTGGATTTGTGAGAACCATTTTCCTTATCTATCAAGACAGAGCTTCTTTTATCCTGCAAGTGAAGCTTTTTCTGAGGTTATGTTACACAAATGCCATAGAAAAACACTTGCACTTCCCCATGGTGGACTCTAACCTTCACTGACTGACTCCACTTACTTTTCCTGTCCTCTACAAGGAGCTACCAGGCAACCTTGAATTCCACTTAACCATCTTTTTTTTCTATTTAATATTTTTTGGACTAATATTTTGAGTACCTCGTGGTGGTGCGAGAAAGACCTCTGGGTTTGCATAAGAAATTCTGATGAGCAAATGCCCCCTCAGCCTTCTGGCCTCTGAGTGGAAAGTGTACTTCACCAGAGGTGAACAGAGGTGATTGAGAGGGAGTATCAGTAGTGAAGAAAGGAGCCCTGCTGAAGTTCTTGGCCCCATTCCAGGGCCCCTTTGGTAAGGGAAAGGATACAGAAAGAACTGTGTGGCAGGCGAGTGGTTTTATTCTTAAAGCCTCACTTAAACTTCTAACAAGCATCCATATTAGTTTGGGTAAAACCAGAATGGTAGCTTAGTATTTTCTACAGATTTTGTTTGCAGAGCCAATTCTTTAAATTGTTTAGTTACTGAGCCCAGAACTTCTCACTGAAAACACTAGGAGGATCATAGTGATAATGTTTAATGATTAGAGGTGATTTTAAATGTTAAAAGCAGTCCGTGATTTGGAAACCTCTCAGAAATTTTTTGACAAGATGACCTCAAATTTGCACTTGGACTTTATGAGGTGTAATCCCCCTGCTTTGTTTGTTTTTTTTGTTTTCCGTAAGAGTTGTGGTTTTTTCTACAGCTCAAAAAAGCTGTCTGAATGCATCCTGGTTTTAAGGTTATGCATTTCAAATGTATATTCACTTGATTGCAATACAGATCTCTTTTCTCTCTTTATAAGTGTTTCTGTCATCCTGCTAGTGGTACAAATTAGTGGACTTTATCCAAAATTATTACTTCTGGGTCATTGAAGAAGACTGGAGTAGAAAACTTGGAGTAGTAGTTTCTCTGAACTGCAGAAGATACTCTGAGTGTTTATTTTATGGAATTATTGTGGTCATCTAGTCACTGTGGATGCTGGATTGGTATTTCAAACAGTTTGAAGTCTCGTTGAGTAGGTGAAAGTCCACCCAACAACTCTAGTTGCTCTGTGTGCCTGAACATCTTACTTGGAAGGTTTTTGATGGGACTTCTGTCTTGGCTTGCACCTATTCAACAAGACTCTGGTTGGAACTGTATATTGAAAATGGATCAACTCTGATCTTCAGTCTGTTGTGTTAAAGACTCCCAAAAAAAATATATCCTAGATGTGGGCAAAAATGGCAGATGGTTCTTATATCTCCTGCTGTCACTTCAGGACCAAATTACTGCAGATCACCTGAACACAATAGATCCGATAGATGCGAGACCCCAAAGAGATTCTTATGTTTCTCGTGGGTTGAGTGAGTGCTCACGAACTGTGTATTGTGGTAGTTCTTGCTGGAGCTTTTGTATCTGTGCACACCTGATTTGTCCTGCTGTGATGATATAAAATAAAAATTGGTTCAGATCACACAAACATATGTGATCAGACTGCAAACCATTTTTGGTCAGCGCACAGAATAGATGGCAAAGGAAGTAGAGAGGGTCTCTTTATGATCTTAATTTTGAATCCAGAATCTGAGGTCTGTGTTCAATCCTAGCTTTGCTGCCAGCTCCCTATATGACTCTAATAGTACAAGAATGACAACTCAAGACTGCAGAGCTAACCCCAGCCCTGGCATTCGCTGTGCTGAATGCTTGAATTAGGTGCAGTTATCTATGTCTGAGAAGCCATTAATGTTAATCAGTTAACTGCTAGCAAATCTTGACAGGCAGTTTTTAAGACTAGAGCATTAGTAATCAGGAGCTGCTTCTGCTAGGTTTGCATTTTGAGTCTGCCTTCACCATGCCCTTGCAGACTTCCCTCTGCCCTGAGCATTGTCTGAATGGAAGGGCCAGGCTCTCAAGATGATTACACCTTCTGGGGGACGGGGAATGCGCACCTGGTGCTGGGGTTGTGAGCTAGAAAGTTGCAATGGTAGTAAATACTGAAGGCTGCAGGGAGGCCCATTTGACAATAATCTCTTTTTCGGTTACTTTTTACAGTTGAAATTGATGCAGTCGGAGCTCAATGTTGAAGAAGTGGTAAACGACAGAAGCTGGAAGGTACTCAGTCACTTAATCGTGATGATTTTCTGTCCCAACAGACAGTCCTGCGCTGGAAATGTGGTATTGGTACCTTATGAAGCAAGTTAATTAGAAATATATGAGGGTAAATGTTTCAAGTCAGTCATTTCCCCAGTTCCTCAGTTCTCAGAGACCTAAACTTTAAAGTTGCACTACAAGGAAAAGTGTTTGATTTAGTGGGGAGAAGAGGACTGTGAATTATTCCCTGTGTCTCTTTCTCCACCTTGCCCAGTGGCCAAGGACTTTGCAGACTTTTCTGTGGTGGCCTATCTGAAAAACTTTCCAAGGCCTCTAACAGTGCCAGAGAAATGGGTCTTTCAAATTTGCCTGTCTGGTGCTGACCCAGGGGAGGGTGTGGCTGTGGAATTTGAACCTTTTTGTGGTCGAATTTCTTCAGGCCTGAACTGACAGTCCATGGTGCAAAGGGCAGCCTTGCCGTTGCTCTCCCGTGTCAGTAGAGGGAGATCAAACCCTCTGGTTTGATGGCCCTAAAATCTGTCTCGTTATAGAGTGATCTTAACACTTAAGCTTAAATTCTGAGGTGGCTGTATTGTGTCACTGCAGCGTTTCACATCTAGCATTCTTCTTTGGTTTGTTGTAGCTTTTCCGAGCTTTCAGTACTGCAGAGAGAACTTTTTTCCCTCTCTAAATGCAAAAAGGATTTTTGCAAATAGCTAGTACTAGCTGCACCTCCATTTTCAATCTCTACTTCATGATTTTAGTTCCCTAGATTGCATAGTTGTAAAAGTGATACAGCTTTGTCTTGTGTGTTCTTCAGTAATTGTGGGCTGATGAGATGAGCATTTACACAGTTTCCATGTATGCTTTGCTATCAGTACTACCTCTGTACTGTCCCAAAAAGCTAAGCATGCCCTTAAGTTTAATTAATTTTAAGCCAGCTCAGATCTGACTAAGCAATGGCAGAGCCTTAACAACACACTGCAGGTCCCCAGTGGCAAATATTTTATGGCAACTCTGCTATAGAGTAACAGCCCCTGCCCTCATCTTCATTCTGAAGCACTGAGTTGATACCAAATTTAATACTGGTCCCAGTGTTTTCTTGTAGCTGCCCTAAGTTTTTTCTAGTGACAGAACTGTCTAATTTTTCCAGAAGATGGAGACTTTATAAGTAGTAAGGTATGAATGGTGCAGGGGTATTTTAGCTTGCTAGCGTATTCCTCAACAAGTGTTAAAGAGTGGGGCTTGAGGAGATAACTATTTCTAGATTTTATCTTCAGCTCTGCTATCATGCTCTGAATATACACTTAATTGTCTTATTAAGCTGCCTGTGAAAATAGGTCACTGAAGGAATTAGAACCAGTCACAGTTGTGGGCAAAATGCAGTTTGTTACGTGGAAGTGGTTATTGGTTTGCAGGCTGGTGTTTTGCTGTTGCAGACTTCTAGCTGGGAAATACACTCACTTATTTCCCTTAACCCTAACCAACTGTAAACTGATTGGAAAAACCTGATTAGGAAACAGTTAATTTCAAACACTCTGGCTAGCTGTACCAGTAGTGGCATACAGAAAGATGCTGCTTTATAGAAATGCATGCAGTGGAATTTGGATGATGCCAGACAAGGAATTGACTTTCAAAACAAACCACTTGCATCAGTCTCTGTACAGCACCTTGACACTGGAGTTTATCGTTGGAGTATTTTATACTAATATGTAAAAGCCACCAAAATCAAACTTCTGCATAGCAACATTAATGTTAAGGTTTCTCAGGCACTGTTTTTCCTGTCTGAAAAATGAGAATAGCACTTCACAGGTAGACCAATGGAGTTAAAGGGACCCGAATAACACACTTGAGTCAATGATCCTGAAAGTAAGAGGCAGTGTTAGTAAGAGTATAGTATTGATCTTCCTTCTATGGGTTGTGGAGTTAACTGGTAAAGATGCTTTAAAAAGTTTATATGATAGCAAGCAAGCTAGTGTGGGTTTTGATGCAAGAGACCCTTGCAGTGTTTTTGAGCGTATTTCCAGTATCCTTTTAGACTTATATGCCATTTAAATGTCTTTAATAGACAATGGACAAAAGTGGTGCAATTTGTTTAATATTAAAATGCTTCTGAATTGAAACCCTCTGTTACTCTTAATTTCTACAGTTTCCTCCTATCCCTGATCTGATCTCAAACATTTACATAATCTTAACTCTGCCAGAGGTGTCCATTGCATGTGGTAACATAATGATAACATAACTTGCATATGAAAGTGAAAGTGAGTGAAAGAAACTATATCACAACTTCTGTTTTCTACAATATGAAGCAGTTTCTAATACAAGTCTGTTTTATAAAATACATGTGAAAGTAAGTTGAAAATTACTCAAAAATTGTTGAGAATCAATGCTGTAACTAATGTGTGCTCCAAACTTTTGCTCAAGATGGGTTTTGAACTCTGAATAAGGAGATCAGCTATAGAAGTAGAAGATTCTAGGAAGAAACAGCTTGAAATAACATATTTATATAAAGTGATGCATAACTTCCCCAAAATTACAAGATCACTCACTTTGTAAAGCCAATGGGACAGTTCACCAAACTTGATATCCTGATGATCGTGGGCATTTGGGTCTGCCAAGTCCCTGCACAGCTTGGCTAAATGCACTCTTGTGGGAGTGCTGGTGGGGCACCCAACAGCTGCCAGTGCCTCGACTTGGTGCTGGGTGGTGCTTGTATCACTTTTGAGGCATGTGCAGGACCAAGTTTGGAGGCCAGTCACTACATAACTGACTGGCTTGTGAGAGCCCCTGGCGACTTTGGTGGGAGCCTGCATGTTTTGCTTTTGATTCAGACTGCCTTCCTTTAAATAGTCCTGTTTATTGGCCTTCCTTAGGGCAGGCAGTCTGCTTGACAAGGCCTGCAGCAGGTCAAGCTAAATATACAGGATCATCAGGATCCGGTTCTGTGTGCTAAATTTTACCCAGAGAAGGTGCCAGAGGTGAGTGAGGCAAGAGCGCTGTGCCCTTTGCATGGGAGTGCTGGCAGCACCGGCACCTGCTGGCAGATAACTGAGTGTCACTGTGGCTTCCAGGAGCCCTGGCCCCTCTTCTTAGCTGTCATGACAATGTAAAATATGTTTGCTCAGGAAAGAGAGGAAAACAGCATCCACGTTTGAATGTCAGAGTGAACGTAATGGAACACAACCATTCAGGAGCCTTCCAGTGATTCTATTGCTCCCTTTTAAAAACAAAAAGTCATCAGCATCTTGGATGGTAACAGACTACCAGGATTAAGAGTCTGCCTTGTCTGAGGGTGAGCACTTAGTGCTGTGCAGTTCCCCAGCATCAGGCTACAAACTTTGCGTTCACTAAAGCCAGGAGAGAAGGTGAATGGAGACAGATGCCTTGGTAAGTGCCATTTATTGGTACATGAGTACTGGGCAGCCTGAGATGTGTGCTATGTGAAGAGGTCATTGCCTGAACTAGCTGTGTAGTTTTATTAATCTCCTGGATGAGGGCTGACTTGCTTTTGCTCTTCTGTTTTGGTGTCTCAGGTATTTAATGAGCGGTGCCGAATTCACTACAAGCCTCCAAAGAGTCAATGATGTGGAATATTTTCCATCAAGGTGGTCCATAACTGTGAGAGCCAAACTGGAAAGAGACCTTGGGTGAGCTGTATTGGGACCCTCCAGAACCAGTAGAACCCAGTCTTGTTTTGTTTTGGACCTACTTAGCTGACATCTCAAGGCTGAAGTGATTCTCCTGTAATTGAGAGAAAACAATTCATCTTTTGTACCAAATATGTGAACAAATGAGTTTTATAGTATTAAAATAATTTTCAAATGGAATGCAAAACTGGCATCTTTCTTGAACTTCTACAGCTTCAGCAGTCCCAGAGGGGAAGAAACAGTAAAAGGCCTCTCTGAGCAGGGAAGACAAGGCTCTCCCTGACCTGGTGCCTGCTAAACTATCAAGTGAGCGTGGTATGTTTGTGCAACAAATCTGCTAAAGACTGCAAGGAAATAAAAATTGCAGAATAATCAGCATGTGTAGTAGGTTCAGCATCCCTGAAAGTAAGAAACTGTCAGCATTGTTCCAAACTGCTTAACAGGAACAGCATTGGCTCAGAGCTGTGTGTGGATACAGGTTTACCATTGCTCCTACAATGCTGACAGGCAGCATCTGTTGCATACTGTCCTTTAGTATGTGTTACCAAGTTCTGAATTTTTCCTTTGTGTAGGGAATGAGGTGTTGATTAAAACCACTTTGAGTTGGAGATGAAGCTATGACTCCTTTGGGAATGAGACAGTTAACAGTCCAGTGATTATTTTTTGTCCCACCTTCTGAACCTTTAAAATTAATTCTACAAGTGCATTGCTTTTGAGCTGAGAAAAGACCCGTGCATAGCTGACCTTGTTGATTCTGGCCATAGTGTTGTGTTAGGAAGCTTTAATGCAATACCCCTGCAGTAATAGACAGTTAAGTATGAGGAAGACTGAATTAATAATAATTATACCTTTATTTTTTACTAACTCAAGCTGTCAGTCAAATTACAAGGTCTGCATGGTTGCCAGCTAGTTTTATTTCTCAGTCATATATCTTTAATATATCTTTAATAACCACTGGATTTGAACAGAGCATTAAAAATACAGGCTCCATCTTGCAAAGACTTTGGAATTCAGCAAGAGGAATGAAATTACTGCATACTCTCAAGATACCTAAAAGCTGTGCATATATGGGGGGTGGCAAGTACGTGCAGGACCTTTGACACTGAAAGCTGGCAAAGATCTGTGCAGTATCATCTGTTTTATAGTTGTTTGTCCAATAGAGACTGCAGCTACTTGGTGACCTTTTATTTTTAGGCAGCAAGGTCATTTAGTCTCACTTTTTTTTTCTGAGAATGAGGCAGAAATATATTTTAAATCTTTGAGGATGTAAATCCTAATGTTCAAACTTCATTTTTTTTCCTTTTTTTCTCAAGGTACTGCAACTGTTCTATGCAGAACTTTATTCGAGTTGGAGCACTCATCTCATTCTTGAAGATTTCTCATTGTTTTTCTGCAACTCTGAAAGCAGAAAACGTGTTTGTTCATCAACCGTTAAATTCTTATAATTGTTTTTCATCAAAACGGAAATCAAATACTGCTCAGAACTATGGGCTGAATTAGCAGTAACCTAAATTCATGACATGATCAATTAATGAGATGTTGAGACCAGTCAGCTTTTATTTCCAAGTCGGTACTTTAATAGTGACCTCTTCTGTAGGTGTCTAAAATACTTGTTCTCTCCGTGGCTTGGGTCAAGGACAAATTCTCCTTTTAAGCTAGTTGTATGATAGAGTCTTCTGCTAGCGTAAAGAGTTGGCATCAATACTCTTGAAATTTAATCTTGTGTTTCTGTAGAAACTAGAGACTGTAATGAGAATTAATCATTGTCCTCCTTTATCCATCCAGATGTTTGCTCAGCTGTTGTGGGAAAACTTATTCGCTTTAGCAGATGCTGTGAAAAATGACCTGTGAAATGGATGTGATACATACACAGATTTTTTTTTTGTAATTTGTTATGAGAAAACTGTGTAAAACTAAAACACCAAAAAGCCAATCCAACGTAACATTATTTTCATTTTGAATGTAAGGGCAAAGAAGTAGCCCTCTACAAAGCTGTCTCTGAAATACTTCAGACACCATAAGAAGACTCCTAAGTCCCAAACATCCCTTCTTTGGGTGTCTGCAGCTTGTATGCAGAGGGTTGAACTAAGAAGTTGTATTGCTCCATTTAGTTTGTTCTGAGTGCTGAGGGATATCTCTTACAGTAGTCCATGGCAAATCATGTGGATCAGAGGCTGTTTATATCTTGCTGTTGAACTTGGTGGAACAAGAAGGTGAGTAAGTGGAATTGCATGCTGTGCTTTGGGGCATGGGGCAGGAGAACATGGCTCTGCTATTTTCTGAGTCTTTCAGATGTGCCTGTGAAGGGGGATGGTTTGTGATGGTCTGAAATGGCATTGGTATGAACTGTGGGCCACACTGAACACAGGCCGGTAAAATCTCTATCTAGTGACCCCATCCATTCTAGGATCAGGCTTAGTCTGGATTGAATCTTGCTTCAGCGTTACCATGGAGGTAGTTACAAAACTACTGGGCTGCTTGGTGTCACATGGGAATCAAATAATGGACCCTACAAATAGCACGATGAAATCCTTTTCCTGGTTTTAACTTTTATTTCTGCAAGTAAAGGCACTTGAGCACAACTGTTGGCCCTGTCCAGAGTCCAAGACATCCTTACTCCTGTACTAGGGCTTTCCCATTTCTTGGAAGTGGTGAATAGAGGTGGACAGATCCCACTTGCTTGGAAAGTCCTCTCAAGTTTGTGCATCTTATTTTCTTCTGCAAAATAGAAGGAGGTGTGTTTTTGCTGGCACTCAGTGCTGTTGTGTTCTGCAGCCTGTAGGCATGAAAGAGTGATGAAACAGGAAATTTCTTTACAGAACGTATTTAAGGGTAGGCTTTGGTTGTCTAGAAGCCTAGTGAGGGGAAGAGGCTCTTTACTGGCACTATAGGCTCACCATAGGCTGGAATACGATGACTTTGTTCTGCTGAAGGTCAGGCATCTGTTAGTTCTTGTTGATTTCAGGGTCTGTAGCAGGAGGGGAAACCTTTTTTGCAGACCAGCATGTTGAAAATCAAGGCTGATGTTACTGTGGAGATAAAAAAAGATCTTCAACTGGTACATGGATGGCTGCTTTCCTCTTGAAGCTCTTAAAAGCGTTCAGATCATGTATCATATAATCCAGTCACAATTAGGTGTCTGACTTCATTTCTGGTTTAAAGATGACTTGTAAATACATAACTCTGCGGTTTGGATTTTGGTCGGTTTTTTTTTATATTTTTGTTTGCTTTGTTTTGTTACTGTACCAGTGTTTTTATTTACTGTAGCTTGTAGTTTTTCAACTTGCATATACCGGACCAGGGCATAGTGGCCTGCAAGCTGTAAACTTTGTTTCTTCCTTATTGGGGTAGTGCATGGTGCAAGATGTTCCTCAGCTTCACGACTCTAAAGAATGCCAGAGATGTTCTGCCAGAAGAGATTCTCCAATATAACAGCAGTAAATTGAAGGCAAACTCTCATCTGTGCAAATGCAGAGTGCAGGCTGGAATGGTACGTAAGATCAGAGGTCACAAATCCTAAAAGAGGGGACAGGCGTTAGCTTGTTGATGTTGTGCAGGGGATGGAATGGGAGCCACCGTTCTTTTCATGCTTTTGTTCCAAATCCTGTTTTGTTACATCTGAAGATGACTAGAGAGGAGTGTAGGCAAAGGTTGCCTAGGATGAGGTTAATCCATTGCCACTGACCATCTTTGATGACAGGTCTGTGAAACGTCAGCACTTCAAAGTGACTTCCTGAAGTATGTGTGCAGGATGAGTACTGCATCCCAGTCTTAAAACTATCACTGGATTTTGGGACAGCCATTAGCAGTTTTAGCAGCTCTCATTCTCATTATTCCTGAGACCTGGAAGCATTTTTCTCTTGGTTCAGAAAGATGTTGTCTCAAGACAACTGTTTCTCCTCAGATGCTTTTCATGCCCTCCCATAGCACTGCTGCTCAAGTTTGGGAAATTCTGCAACACCTTTATCAGTAACAGCTCTAACACTGATCTATATACTGTTGAGTTTAGGGCCCCTAGAGCCCCAGATTCCGAATCTCAGGTCCTTTGTATCAAGAACAGGCCTAGAAGTCAGGTGTGAAGTCCTTGTTTAGAGCCTGTTGCATCACTTGTCACCTGTGAGGAGGAGGGTCAGTAGCCTGGGTAGCACACTGGTAAGTCTGTGCTACACAGACCCCACTGTTGTGGCCATAAACACGCTTGTTTTGGGCAAACTGCCTTGTGCTGATTGCAGCAGAAGTGCCCTTTGCCTGTGTGCAGCCCGTAGTCTCATTTCACCTATTCCCATGTACCCACCCCTGGAGACTACAAATTGTCTGGTCTCTTGGTGCTTCTCTGGTCCTTGCTCTGGAACAATATTCCTCCTGTTTTCTGGAGAGAGGGAAAGAGGCAGGAATACCAAGGGGGAGTAATTTTTTTTGAGGTCTGGAAGTGTTAGTTCTCCCTTTACCTGGGAGGGCTGGTAACACTTCTTAGTTGTCCCTCAGTAGGTTTTGAGCTTTTTCCATTCAGATATGGTCATGAATGTGACTGTGCCATGTGTCCGTAACTGGGAATTAATCCTTCTGACTCTATATTCTGCATGTTGCCTGTTTCAGCAGTGTACCTTGGCATTAGGAGAGCAATTGTGCACACACTGCTCCTCTAGCAAGAGGGATCGTACTTTGTCTTCAAAGAACTTGGCACTCGGGTTTGAGTTGAAATGCAAATGTTACTGTATATTCAGTTGTTATTATGTATTGCCTGAATGCAGCTCTAGAGCTTCTGATGAGAAAGATGCAGAAATACCATTCTTGCAGTACTCACCAGAAGCTGGAATTTAATTTTTTCTATTTCTGGTGCTGGTGTTTACCTTGGCACCTTTCTGGTTAGGCCGAGGGAAGTCAAGTCACTGAAGACAAGATGCAATCTGCTCCCCTTTTGCATTGGGAAGGATACTGAGGTAATAAAATTCCAAGTTGAACGGGACCTGCAGTAGGGAAACTACTGCATGCTTTCTTCTGATCTTGAAAGGTATTGGGACTTATGGGATGTGACTTTGATCCATTTCCTAAGTACACAGAGCAGTTATCTGCACATGGATGGAGAGGCAAGAGATTCCATTTGCAGCCCAAAACAATTGTCTTGAGATGTAGGTGGCTGGAGTCCAGTGTTTGCTTTTCTTATTAACCTGAAGACTGAACTCTCTTAAGATTCTTAAAGTGCTTTTTACATTTATTAGTAGTATTATCAGCATTTTACATTGCTTCCCCTCCCCCCATTTTCCCAGTTAGTTGGCTTCTCCAGTTCAGTAATGGTAGGCTCCATGTGTTGTAGGTCCCATGATTCCATGACAGTGTGGGATGATGACCCAGGAGCCAGGCAATGGTGAAGGCTGCCTATTTATGGCCTACAGTGGGTACCCTCTACGTTATCTTTGTGGATGGAGATGGGCATGGTTGACATCAAGAAAGGATGTGTTGGCCAAAGGAGGAGGTGCTGTGTGATTCAAAGAAACCTTTGAACAATCTGAAAAGCAATTTATTACGGCCGGAGAATGCGAAAGGGGCAGATGTTTTCCCCAGTGCACTCCACTGAGCAAAGGAATACCATAACTTTTTATACAGTTTGAAAGTAGCAAGTTTAAAATGATCTATACACACACTCTTCTTGCAGTCTGCCTTATCTAAATAGACACTTAGTTTTACCTCCTATTCTTACCATTATAGAGTAGTTACCTAAAGTTTTATCATTTCAAACAGTTTCAGGTTCCCCACCCCTCTCTACGTGCTAAAAAGCATTCCCTGATCCCTAAGCTGTTTTTATCTTAATTGCCCACAGTTTGGGCAGAAACTTTTAAGCAGTTTTACATTTTGCAAAGTCACACTTACATAGCTAAATTAACATAGCTAAATTTTATTTCACTTTCATTTCTATTTCAGTGGAGCCAGGATGATCATCTTTTGGCTCTGACAAACAGAACAGACCAGAACAAAATCGTAAGACTGGAACCTTGAAGCATACCAGGCCCAAAAATTAAGATTCATTGAACAGGAAACGCAACCCCCCTGCATATGTTAATAAGGTTAATGAAGTACTTGCTACCACACATGACTATGTTACTCAGCTCTCCACTTCTATCACGCCATACGTAACAAGAGGAGGAGGAGACAATTGGGCTGTATATAAGGAGGGTAGAAACTTCATCGAAGTACGGGGAAGACCCAAAAAGACCTCAGGGACAGTCAACGGACGACTCTCCTCTCTCTCATCCCAAGCAGGAACGTCTTTGTGGTAAGCCTTTGTGTCTGATTGTTACTATTCCCCGGGTTAGTAAAACATTATTATTGTTGTTAGAGCTTTGTTGCAGCAGGTGCATTTACCAATGGCAATTTCAAATCTGAATTTCTGTTGCTTCAATAAACCGAACTGTTTGTGAATCTGTGAGATTCACAGAAGTTCTCCTTGATTGCAATCAAAGTGTAAACCACACTATTTGTGAATCTGTGCTCGTGGAAGTTCCTATTGAACATGACTAGAGTTACAGTGATGACTTGCTTCTAATCCTAAATTAAGTGTAGCCATACCCAGCCCCTGTTGCCCCAAGGCCCAGCTGGAATGCAGGGGGGTTTATTTTCTGACAGATTTCTTACTTTTAATTCAACATACTCGTGTCTCTGTATATGTGTGTGTATATATATATATCTGCAAGATACCTGGTGACTCTGCTCAGACTGTGCTAAACTTCCCTTTTCAGAACCACCTGTCATGTCAGCTATCGTTGGGGGCTTATCTCCCCCCAAGCCTGCTACTGAAGACATCCAGGATATCGCCAACGCGGTGAGTTGTGCCTAGTCTATAGATGAAGTCTGTGTGTGCAAAGAGCTGAGTGCTGAAGGTTGTGTAAAGGCTGAGAGACCAGATGCTGATACTGAAGCAGGGTTTAAAGTGGCTACCTTCAGTGAATGTTCACATATTGTTCAAAGCCCAGCTCTGCTATGCCAGCACTGAAATGGCTTGTTTGAAATGAGAGGAGGCGTATTTGAAGGGAGAAGCTTGTATGTGGTAGAAGTAATTCCTCCCTGAAGGCCATGGATGGGACCAACTACATGCCAGTCTGCCCTAAAAAATGATTTAAACAGGACAAGGCAACGGATAAATGGTATGTTCTCTGCTGGCATTGTTTTCTGGAGTCACAACTATGATGCAAGGGCAAATAGTGAGCCCGTGGGGCAAGGTGAGCTTGGCACAAGGCAGGCAGGTGGTTGGTCACAGGCAGTGGTCCTGTCCTGGAAGCAGTTGTGATAGCAGCAGCCCTGCAGTACAGCAGCTCTTTTTCAAATCAGTATAAATTGCATCCTTAGGAGCTGGAGGGGAGCAACGTGGCACGGGAAGACTCCGTCTGTGTGTCCCGTCTTGTCTTCCCACTCACCTGAGCCCCTTCATCCTCTGTCTTCAAGATGAGTTCTTCCCTCTTGAGCCATTGCACCAAGTGTAATTTATGCCATCCTTGAGGAAAGACCCCCAGGAAAGGGTGGGGCTGAAACCATCAGCCAACACTGCTGCACACTCCCTGTGCAGGGCTCCCAGCAGGATTGATTTAGGCAGTGCACAGGTGGAGGGGATATCGTTTAAAACCCGCTTTGCTTACTTGAAGGTATTTAATGTCACACAAGGCTTGTGATTTAGCAGAGGGATACAAATATTCTGCTAACTCCATGCAGATCTAATTACTCTCCGGAAAATGTAGCAATTGCAATACACAGTTCAGTGATGACACTGGTGTGGTCTCCGTCGCTGGTCTGTATAACACGCTCCCTGTCACGGCACTAAGCTCCTCAGTCCCCAGGAAGGGGTCGGTGGGTTGAAGCCACTTCTAGCCAGCTGTTTTTTTCAAAATTCTTGTGTTCCCTGTTTAGTTTTTATACTGTGTGTTGGGCAGAGCCACGTATTCACTCCCTCCATGCTGGTCTGGCTAATTCAGGAGGGTGTTCCCTTTCATTTATTGAGCTCAGGAAGTTACACCACCTGAATGATTCCCTCGATTGACAGAGCTATTTGTCTAAAACACCCTGTGGTCCCCTTGGTGTTGAGGTAAAGTCAGCTTATCTGCAAAAGCTGTGGTCAGTCACACCCTGCATTATCCCAGGGGGTTTTGTGGGCAGCACATTGCCCTCCCCAGCTCCCCTGAGCCTTCTCCCGTTGTGGGGCTTAATTGCTGAGAAACAGCTGGGCTCACCAGAGTTGGGTATATGTACATGGGGGAGGGCTGAAGTATGGGGTAACAGGTCAGTCAGAGGGGAGATAATTTACTGCAGAACAGAAAGAGAAAAGGATGATCTACAATTGCTTGGGGGACACCAATTGAATGACTCAGGAGCAGTATCACTGTTCCTCCTCTGCTGGCACAAGTGGTTGTAGGAGCAGCACTTGTAGAGATGAGGAATTCCCTGTTACCTATGGAGGGGAGACCCTAGCAGGGACTTGTAGCACCTTTGTGTATTTGCCATTCGTGTTTGCTCATGTGTAAGATGAGGAGGGCAATGTCTCAGGCCAGCTGGGGGCTTGAAATTTGACTAATGAGTCTTGTGAAATGCCTCAAGGGCTTCCTTTGAACATGGCTGGGCCAGTGCAGTGTCCCAGATACTGAGCTACATTTTCAGTGCTGGGCTGTGTCATTCCTGGGTGATCCAAAGTATTTCAGCACTAGGCTGTCAGTGAGCAAACAGGCTCAAATTCCAAATATGAATGCTGGTTTCAGGCTGTGCTAATGCTCCCAAAGTACAGGGCAAATATGGCATTTGAAATGTGGATGTAGAGATTTTGTTTGATTCCAGAAGAGGAATGATCTTAATTTTGGTGTTCTTTCATTCTCAGTAACTTCAGGAGAATGAAAACAGATGATTCTTTGCTCCTTATTTTCTACCTTGTACTGAGAGCAGGAGAGAGAACTCTTCCTGGTCCCTCCCCATCACAGAGGCTTGGGTATAGTTCTCTAAGGAAAATACCCTTATGCTGGGGCAGTCCTTCTGTGCTTCCAGACTGTGCATATTTTAGAAGAAAAGCATCAGAGGACCTGAGTGCAGCTCTGAGGTTGTGAAACAGAGCAGGGATTTTCAGCCTCCCAGGCTGACTGGCGTGGGCACTGGTGTTCCAGGTGAGGGGAGGTGGCTTGCACTTCTGTGTAACAGTGTGGTTGACACAGGGTGTACCCCGATAGGGGGCATGGCTTGGTGCCTCCATCCTTTGATCCAGAATCAAAAGGGCAGCAAGTAGCAGTTTGCTGTCTGTAGTGAGCAGGAGGCTGTTCAGCTGGACAGCTTTGGAGCAGGGGAAATCAATTAGGAAATCTCCTTCTCACTGGATTTTAAATAGTGCTGGAGGCAGTGCTAGGAAGGAGGGCTGGAGGTCCTGGTGTAAATTGATTTAGAGTGGGGGTTCTGGATTTATTTTATCAAGGATGTATGTTTGAAAGGATGGGATTTGAAGTGGTAGATGTGAGAGAAAAGCCTGAGTATGAACGTGCCAACCATTTTTCCTTTTCTTTTACAGGTGAAACTACAGCTTGAACTCAGGGTACAAAGGAGATATGACATCTTTAGAGCCATACTCTACAGGACTCAAGTAGTTGCTGGGATGATGTACTTGATTAAGGTTTGTATATGATATAGGAGGGAGTGCTTTGCAGTTCAACAATATAGGTGACGTGCAGAGTAGCTTAGAGCTGGAAAGAGAAGCAGATGTGGTAGAAAAGCATCTGATGTGAGTAATAGAGTTGAGGAGTATCTCAGGATGTTTATAAAATTCCTCTCTTCGGCACTACTGTAGAAGAGGAATAGTTCTTTCTGTATTTTCCAAACCCTCTCTCTGCTGTGGAGGAAAAACCGGTCCTGCTTAGTTTAGATCCCTCTGAGAGCACCATTCATCCTCTACTAGAAAACCTCGCCCACGTCTGTGAGCAGCTTTCTGTGAAGTAGCACGGAAGAACTTGCTGGGTGTGGTTTGCATCTGAAGGCCAGCAGGCACTGCTGAGCAGCAGGCTGGCCTTCTGGAGCAGAGCACACATGGCATGGGATTGCTGTCTCTCAAACCCCACGTGTGTGGGGACATGTGCCTGGTGGGACAGGCTCCCCTGACAAGGGTCAGAATCTTTATGAAAGAAATTGTCTGGTAGCATCTGGGGGAGAGTAATTCTGCAGAGAGATGTGGTGAGCACTTGCTCCACGCTTCTCATATTTAGTTGATGGCAGGAAGGACAGACAGTGTGAAACATCTCTCCCAGGTGCTTTTTTAAAATAACACCAGTTGTTTGTGCTCTGTGGGCACCAGGGGACTGTACTGACCGACTACCTCTTCTGTGGCTAGTCAGAGTCTTAGCTACATGATTGATATTTATCCTTTCCTTGCTCCTGTGAGATGGGCTTTCACGTTGTGGACAAAGCACTGAGTAATGAAGAGTAACAATTTACTAGAGGGCTGAAGTACAGCCAGAAGTCATGCCCAGTTGCATCCCAGATTTGTCTCTTCTTTGCCAATCTGCAGACAAGGCTTTCAGGTTGTCATTGCTTCTCAGGACCACATGCTGGTTTGGGATGGATCTTCCTGTACTTTCTGAGAGCAGATGTTGTCTCTGCATCTTGTCGCAGCCCTGAGTCATTAAGACTCACTGGGTCTTGTCTTCCACCCTGAGTGTGCCAAGAGGCTGAGAGGTGATGTGCTGACATCTTCGTGACCAAAACAGGGCACCATCAAAACCTTTCTCCTGTTCCGCCTTCTGGTGCTTCCACCCTCAAGCAGTCCTGCTCATTTTCCCTTCATCTGAGATGGAATGTTTTTAATAGAGTTTTCTCCAGGTGTAGACAGCAAGTACTACCCAGATTGGGTGAAGAGCTGTGGAAGTGAAAAGTGGAGATAGAACCTCAAATTAAGCTCCACGGCAAAGACAGTCTTTCAAGTATGTAAAGAGCATCCTTTTGTTTGAACCTGCTTCAAGCCCATGCCCCTCACTTTCCCCCTGTTTTGTTTTCTAGGTCCAAGTTGCTGATACTGAATATGTCCACTTAAAGGTAATTTCGGGCCTTCCTCCGGAGAAGATATTTCCTGCCCTTGTCAGTTTTCAGACTGGCAAGACCGGAGATGATCCTCTGGACCTCTTCTGAGACACGATGAGGGCAGTGCCTCACTTCTACAAGTCACGTGGGGGTTCTGACCATGACAGTAAATGCATGAAAATAAAATAAGGCTTGAAAGCTATTTGTTCCTTTGCTGTGTGTCATGCCTTGGGCCGCTGCCCGGCTAAAGCTCAAGTAGGCTCCAAAACACTGTTTCAAGCTCTTTCTGCCACCTGGGGTACTACAGCTGTAAGACAGGGCCCACCCACTTCAGCTCCTCTTTCCAAAACTCTCTTGGGTATCTTGGGCTTTTTGGGTTTGTTTCAGTGCATTAAATGCAAGCTATTGGCGACTTGTCAGAAAGAGTGTGAGATAGACAATTTCTGGCATGGGGGAACTGGGAACCCAAACTATCCTCCTTTAAGTGCACCATCACTCACAGGGAGGAGAAGGGTGGTGGGGCGGGGAGCGGGAATGTGTGCCTTGAAGGAATGGGAAGACAGTCTCCTTCCCCCGTTGGTCAACAGAACTTTAAATTTAACAGCAGCAGGTATTAGAAACTAAACAGAGCTTGTGGACTAACAGGGAGGACATGGTGAGAAGCTTGAACCAGACTGTGGAAGAAGGCATTGTTTCCCCTGCCATCACCTATAAATAAATGCTCTGCTGGGGCTTTGAGCAGGCCGAGCTCTGCCGAGTTTGTGAGGAGACTGGGGATGCAGGATCAAGCTCTTTGTTGAGATGGTTCCCAGTCATCAGCCAAGTTTGCTGATGGAAATCTGTCTCCAGAACTGATCTACTCTGTTGTTGCTTCACTAACGAATGGTTCAGGAAACACCACACTGGGGCATGCTTTCCAGTGGGATTTTGAGGCATGGTGGGTGGGATGGGGCAGCCATCCATGTCAGCATCTTCTGGAAGGACATGCCAATGGAGGTTCTCAGGCTCCAGCTTTCAACCAGAAGGATGTTCCTCAACTTGTCTTCATCAGTGTTGTGTCGTGTGACACACAACAGGCTTTTGGGCATCTGCCTGACCAGACCTCCTCTTCCCTTGGATGAGAATATATCCCGTTCTCTGTGCATGAGAAAGGGTTTGGTTGTAAATCACCTTCCCAAAGAGGGTCCTTGCTACTGAACTTCCCTTGTGCCCAGAGTGTGTGTCACTGCCATTGGCTGCAGGAGTGGCTCTCAGGCAGCCTGTGGAGCTGGAGGCCTACAGCTCCAGGTAAGAGTACAGTGAGGGGGGGGTGTGCCACGGTCCGAAAAAGGGGGGAGGACCGTGGCACTACACGAGTCCGGGACACGAGAGTGGGATGCAGGTAGAATGCTTTATTCCCGTGTGCACCCAGTCTTTCTCAGCTCGGGAGGGCAAAGGGCCAGAACACAGGGCGGAGCATGAGACAGACAAGCGGGGGGACAAACCAAGGTAGGGACACGGGCAAAAAGGGGAGGAGCGCAGGAGGAACCAGGGGAGGAAAGGGCGAACGGGGGCTGTCTCCTGTCTGCAGCTTTTCCAGCCAATCGGCAGAGAAACAGAGGAGCAGGGAGGCGAACAGGCCGGGATGTGCCCGAAAGGCACAGATTCGGGGGAACATACAATGCGTGTGTACATAATAACTATAAAGTCTGCATCGTAAAGTCCATTCAATCACTGTACATCCTTTTCCACTTCTGAGATTTTCCCCATTCTGATTCCTAGTCCTTCACAGGGAGGGGGGCTTTTCCAGCAAATATATCATGATTTTTCTGTTGCTATAAAATCATAGAATTATCGAATTATGAAGGTTGGAAGAATTTGGTCGTCATGAAGCAGACTGAGGGGAGGAGGCTCTTTACTGGTACCACAGGCTCAGCATAGGCTGGGATGAGATCTTTGTGCTGCTGAAAGCCAGGTTTCTACTGATCTTTCTTGATGTATGATGTCAGAAATCTTTTGAAATGAGGGTGAGGAGCAGAAGGGGAAACCTTTTTTTTCAGACCAGCGTGGTGAAAGTCAAGGCTGATGTTACTGTGATCATGAAAACAGATCTTCAACTGGTACATGGAGGGCTGCTTTCCTCTAGTTCTTGAAAACATTCAGACCATGTGTCATAGAATCCAGTCACAATGAGGTGTCTTTATGCTGTGAAACCAGAAGGCTGAACTGCTGACTCGGGCGTTCACAATTGTTCCTCCAGAGCTGCCTTTGTTTCTGGTTTAAAGATGACTTGTAAATACATAACTCTGGGGTTTGGATTTTGGTCAGGGTTTTTTTATATTTTTGTTTGCTTTGTTTTGTTACTGTACCAGTGTTTTTATTTACTGTAGCTTGTAGTTCTTAAACTTGCATATACAGGACCAGAGAGTAGTGGCCTGCAAGCTGTAAACTTTGTTTCTTCCTTATTGGGGTAGTACACGATGCAAGATGTTCCTCAGCTTCACGACTGTAAAGAATGCCAGAGATGTTCTGCCAGCAGAGACTCTCCAATATAACAGCAGTAAATTGAAGGGAAACTCTCATCTGTGCAAATGCAGAGTGCAGGCTGGAATGGTACGTAAGATCAGAGGTCACAAATCCTAAAAGAGGGGACAGGCGTTAGCTTGTCGATGTTGTGCAAGAGATGGAATGGGAGCCACCGTTCTTTTCATGCTTTTGTTCCAAATCCTGTTTTGTTACATCTGAAGCTGACTAGAGAGGGGTGTAGGCGAAGGTTGCCTAGGATGAGGTTAATCCATTGCCATTGATCATCTTTGATGACAGGTCTATGAAACATCAGCACTTCAAAGTGACTTCCTGAAGTATGTGTGCAGGATGAGTACTGCATCCCAGTCTTAAAACTATCACTGGATTTTGGGACAGCCATTAGCAGTTTTAGCAGCTCCCATTCCTTTTCTTCCTGAGACCTGGAAGCATTTTTCTCTTGGTTCAGGAAGATGTTGTCTCAAGGCAACTCTTTCTCCTCAAATGTTTTTCATGCCCTTCCATAGCACTGCTGCTCAAGTTTGGGAAATTCTGCAACACCTTTATCAGTAACAGCTCTCATGTATCATCATGGCTGGGCTTCGCGAACGAAGATTTGGGAAGGGCTCTACCCATGTTTGTTGTAAGTGTGTTGGTGGCTGAAAAGGCCAATACGAGACAGGCATGTCCAGTTGCAAAAGGCACAGCAGAAAGACTCCTTAGGTGGTATATTCTGCAGGACACGATTCTTTCTGCGTTGCCTTTTCTCCTCAAGGGTGATCCTGCGTGCTTTCTCAAAAGCATCAGCAGCGTTATAGATGGTGTGTCTCCAGGTGTCCCAATTGGAGGCCAGAGTAGACCAGTTTTGTTGATCAATATGGCCAAGGCTGAGATGTTGTTTCAGGGAGTCCTTGTATCTTTTCTTCGGGGCTCCTCTCGTGCGGCAGCCGGTGGCAAGTTCACCATAAAGCAAGATCTTAGGGAGGCGGTGGTCCTTCATCCTGGAGACGTGCCCTGCCCAGCACAGCTGTGTTCTCAGCAACATGGCCTCAATACTTGTGACTGCTGCTTGTTCAAGAACAGATGCATTGGTCACATAATCTGACCAGTGGATGTTTAGGACTGAACGGAGACAGCATTGATGGAAGTGTTCTAGGAGACGCAGGTGGTGGCGGTAACACTGATCTATATACTGTTGAGTTTAGGGCCCCTAGAGCCCCAGATTCCGAATCTCAGGTCCTTTGTACCAAGAACAGGCCTAGAAGTCAGGTGTGAAGTTTAGAGCCTGTTGCATCACTTGTCACCTGTGAGGAGGAGGGTCAGTAGCCTGGGTAGCACACTGGTAAGTCTGTGCTACACAGACCCCACTGTTGTGGCCATAAACACGCTTGTTTTGGGCAAACTGCCTTGTGCTGATTGCAGCAGAAGTGCCCTTTGCCTGTGTGCAGCCCGTAGTCTCATTTCACCTATTCCCATGTACCCACCCCTGGAGACTACAAATTGTCTGGTCTCTTGGTGCTTCTCTGGTCCTTGCTCTGGAACAATATTCCTCCTGTTTTCTGGAGAGAGGGAAAGAGGCAGGAATACCAAAGGGGAATAATTTTTTTTGAGGTCTGGAAGTGTTAGTCCTCCCTTACCTGGGAGGGCTGGTAACACTTCTTAGTTGTCCCTCAGTAGGTTTTGAGCTTTTTCCATTCATATATGGTCATGAATGTGACTGTGCCATGTGTCTGTAACTGGGAATTAATCCTTCTGACTATCTATTCTGCCTGTTGCTTGTTTCAGCAGTGTACCTTGGCATTAGGAGAGCAATTGTGCACACACTGCTCCTCTAGCAAGAGGGATCGTACTTTGTCTTCCCAGCAATTGGCACTCGGGTTTCAGTTGAAATGTAAATGTTACTGTATATTCAGTTGTTATTATGTATTGCCTGAATGCAGCTCTAGAGCCTCTGCTTCTGATGGGAAAGAAGCAGAAATACCATTCTTGCAGTACTTACCTGAAACTGGAATTTAATTTTTTCTATTTCTGGTGCTGGTGTTTACCTTGGCACCTTTCTGGTTAGGCAGAGGGAAGTCAAGTCACTGAAGACAAGATGCAATCTGCTCCTCTTTTGCATTGGGAAGGATACTGAGGTAATAAAATGCGAAGTTAAACAGGACCTACAGTAGGGAAACTACTGCATGCTTTCTTCTGATCTTGAAAGGTATTGGGACTTATGGGATGTGACTTTGATCCATTTCCTAAGTACACAGAGCAGTTATCTGCACATGGATGGAGAGGCAAGAGATTCCATTTGCAGCCCAAAACAATTGTCTTGAGATGTAGGTGGCTGGAGTCCAGTGTTTGCTTTTCTTATTAACCTGAAGACTGAACTCTCTTAAGAATCTTAAAGTGCTTTTTACATTTATTAGTAGTATTATCAGCATTTTACATTGCTTCCCCTCCCCCCATTTTCCCAGTTAGTTGGCTTCTCCAGTTCAGTAATGGTAGGCTCCATGTGTTGTAGGTCCCATGATTCCATGACAGTGTGGGATGATGACCCAGGAGCCAGGCAATGGTGAAGGCTGCCTATTTATGGCCTACAGTGGGTACCCTCTACGTTATCTTTGTGGATGGAGATGGGCATGGTTGACATCAAGAAAGGATGTGTTGGCCAAAGGAGGAGGTGCTGTGTGATTCAAAGAAACCTTTGAACAATCTGAAAAGCAATTTATTACGGCCGGGGAATGCGAAAGGGGCAGATGTTTTCCCCAGTGCACTCCACTGAGCAAAGGAATACCATAACTTTTTATACAGTTTGAAAGTAGCAAGTTTAAAATGATCTATACACACACTCTTCTTGCAGTCTGCCTTATCTAAATAGACACTTAGTTTTACCTCCTATTCTTACCATTATAGAGTAGTTACCTAAAGTTTTATCATTTCAAACCGTTTCAGGTTCCCCACCCCTCTCTACGTGCTAAAAAGCATTCCCTGATCCCTAAGCTGTTTTTATCTTAATTGCCCACAGTTTGGGCAGAAACTTTTAAGCAGTTTTACATTTTGCAAAGTCACACTTACATAGCTAAATTAACATAGCTAAATTTTATTTCACTTTCATTTCTATTTCAGTGGAGCCAGGATGATCATCTTTTGGCTCTGACAAACAGAACAGACCAGAACAAAATCGTAAGACTGGAACCTTGAAGCATACCAGGCCCAAAAATTAAGATTCATTGAACAGGAAACGCAACCCCCCTGCATATGTTAATAAGGTTAATGAAGTACTTGCTACCACACATGACTATGTTACTCAGCTCTCCACTTCTATCACGCCATACGTAACAGGAGGAGGAGGAGACAATTGGGCTGTATATAAGGAGGGTAGAAACTTCATCGAAGTACGGGGAAGACCCAAAAAGACCTCAGGGACAGTCAACGGACGACTCTCCTCTCTCTCATCCCAAGCAGGAACGTCTTTGTGGTAAGCCTTTGTGTCTGATTGTTACTATTCCTCGGGTTAGTAAAACATTATTATTGTTGTTAGAGCTTTGTTGCAGCAGGTGCATTTACCAATGGCAATTTCAAATCTGAATTTCTGTTGCTTCAATAAACCGAACTGTTTGTGAATCTGTGAGATTCACAGAAGTTCTCCTTGATTGCAATCAAAGTGTAAACCACACTATTTGTGAATCTGTGCTCGTGGAAGTTCCTATTGAACATGACTAGAGTTACAGTGATGACTTGCTTCTAATCCTAAATTAAGTGTAGCCATACCCAGCCCCTGTTGCCCCAAGGCCCAGCTGGAATGCAGGGGGGTTTATTTTCTGACAGATTTTTTACTCTAATTCAACACACTCGTGTCTCTGTGTATGTGTGTGTGTGTGTGTGTGTATATCTGCAAGATACCTGGTGACTCTGCTCAGACTGTGCTAAACTTCCCTCTTCAGAACCACCTGTCATGTCAGAGAAGTTACATGTCCTTGGGGGCTTCTCTCCCCCCGAACCTGCTACTGAAAGAATCCAGGATATCACCAACGCGGTGAGTTGTGCCTAGTCTATAGATGAAGTCTGTGTGTGCAAAGAGCTGAGTGCTGAAGGTTGTGTAAAGGCTGAGAGACCAGATGCTGATACTGAAGCAGGGTTTAAACTGGCTACCTTCAGTGAATGTTCACATATTGTTCAAAGCCCAGCTCTGCTATGCCAGCACTGAAATGGCTTGTTTGAAATGAGAGGAGGCGTATTTGAAGGGAGAAGCTTGTATGTGGTAGAAGTAATTCCTCCCTGAAGGCCATGGATGGGACCAACTACATGCCAGTCTGCCCTAAAAAATGATTTAAACAGGACAAGGCAACGGATAAATGGTATGTTCTCTGCTGGCATTGTTTTCTGGAGTCACAACTATGATGCAAGGGCAAATAGTGAGCCCGTGGGGCAAGGTGAGCTTGGCACAAGGCAGGCAGGTGGTTGGTCACAGGCAGTGGTCCTGTCCTGGAAGCAGCTGTGATAGGAGCAGCCCTGTAGTACAGCAGCTCTTTTTCAAATCAGTATAAATTGCATCCTTAGGAGCTGGAGGGGAGCAACGTGGCACGGGAAGACTCCGTCTGTGTGTCCCGTCTTGTCTTCCCACTCACCTGAACCCCTTCATCCTCTGTCTTCAAGATGAGTTCTTCCCTCTTGAGCCATTGCATGAAGTGTAACTTATGCCATCCTTGAGGAAAGACCCCCAGGAAAGGGTGGGGCTGAAACCATCAGCCAACACTGCTGCACACTCCCTGTGTAGGGCTCCCAGCAGGATTGATTTAGGCAGTGCACAGGTGGAGGGGATATCGTTTAAAACCCGCTTTGCTTACTTGAAGGTATTTAATGTCACACAAGGCTTGTGATTTAGCAGAGGGATACAAATATTCTGCTAACTCCATGTAGATCTAATTACTCTCCGGAAAATGTAGCAATTGCAATACACAGTTCAGTGATGACACTGGTGTGGTCTCTGTCCCTGGTCTGTATAACACGCTCCCTGTCACGGCACTAAGCTCCTCAGTCCCCAGGAAGGGGTCGGTGGCTTGAAATTTGTCTAATGAGTCTTGTGAAATGCCTCAAGGGCTTCCTTTGAACATGGCTGGGCCAGTGCAGCGTCCCAGATACTGAGCTACATTTTCAGTGCTGGGTTGTGTCATTCCTGGGTGATCCAAAGTATTTCAGCACTAGGCTGTCAGTGAGCAAACAGGCTCAAATTCCAAATATGAATGCTGGTTTCAGGCTGTGCTAATGCTCCCAAAGTACAGGGCAAATATGGCATTTGAAATGTGGATGTAGAGATTTTCTGTTTGATTCCAGAAGAGGAATGATCTTAATTTTGGTGTTCTTTCATTCTCAGTAACTTCAGGAGAATGAAAACAGATGATTCTTTGCTCCTTATTTTCTGCCTTGTACTGAGAGCAGGAGAGAGAACTCTTCCTGGTCCCTCCCCATCACAGAGGCTTGGGTATAGTTCTCTAAGGAAAATACCCTTATGCTGGGGCAGTCCTTCTGTGCTTCCAGACTGTGCATATTTTAGAAGAAAAGCATCAGAGGACCTGAGTGCAGCTCTGAGGTTGTGAAACAGAGCAGGGATTTTCAGCCTCCCAGGCTGACTGGCGTGGGCACTGGTGTTCCAGGTGAGGGGAGGTGGCTTGCACTTCTGTGTAACAGTGTGGTTGACACAGGGTGTACCCCGATAGGGGGCATGGCTTGGTGCCTCCATCCTTTGATCCAGAATCAAAAGGGCAGCAAGTAGCAGTTTGCTGTCTGTAGTGAGCAGGAGGCTGTTCAGCTGGACAGCTTTGGAGCAGGGGAAATCAATTAGGAAATCTCCTTCTCACTGGATTTTAAATAGTGCTGGAGGCAGTGCTAGGAAGGAGGGCTGGAGGTCCTGGTGTAAATTGATTTAGAGTGGGGGTTCTGGATTTATTTTATCAAGGATGTATGTTTGAAAGGATGGGATTTGAAGTGGTAGATGTGAGAGAAAAGCCTGAGTATGAACGTGCCAACCATTTTTCCTTTTCTTTTACAGGTGAAACTACAGCTTGAACTCAGGGTACAAAGGAGATATGACATCTTTAGAGCCATACTCTACAGGACTCAAGTAGTTGCTGGGATGATGTACTTGATTAAGGTTTGTATATGATATAGGAGGGAGTGCTTTGCAGTTCAACAATATAGGTGACGTGCAGAGTAGCTTAGAGCTGGAAAGAGAAGCAGATGTGGTAGAAAAGCATCTGATGTGAGTAATAGAGTTGAGGAGTATCTCAGGATGTTTATAAAATTCCTCTCTTCGACACTACTGTAGAAGAGGAATAGTTCTTTCTGTATTTTCCAAACCCTCTCTCTGCTGTGGAGGAAAACCGGTCCTGCTTAGTTTAGATCCCTCTGAGAGCACCATTCATCCTCTACTAGAAAACCTTGCGCACGTCTGTGAGCAGCTTTCTGTGAAGTAGCACGGAAGAACTTGCTGGGTGTGGTTTGCATCTGAAGGCCAGCAGGCACTGCTGAGCAGCAGGCTGGCCTTCTGGAGCAGAGCACACATGGCATGGGACTGCTGTCTCTCAAACCCCACGTGTGTGGGGACATGTGCCTGGTGGGACAGGCTCCCCTGACAAGGGTTGGAATCGTTTTAGGAAAGAAATTGTCTGGTAGCATTTGGGGGAGAGTAATTCTGCAGAGAGATGTGGTGAGCATTTGCTCCACGCTTCTCATATTTAGTTCATGGCAGGAAGGACAGACAGTGCCAAACGTCTTTCCCAGGTGCTTCTTTAAAGTAACACCAGTTGTTTGTGCTCTGTGGGCACCAGGGGACTGTACTGACCGACTACCTCTTCTGTGGCTAGTCAGAGTCTTAGCTACATGATTGATATTTATCCTTTCCTTGCTCCTGTGAGATGGGCTTTCACGTTGTGGACAAAGCACTGAGTAATGAAGAGTAACAATTTACTAGAGGGCTGAAGTACAGCCAGAAGTCATGCCCAGTTGCATCCCAGATTTGTCTCTTCTTTGCCAATCTGCAGACAAGGCTTTCAGGTTGTCATTGCTTCTCAGGACCACATGCTGGTTTGGGATGGATCTTTCTGTACTTTCTGAGAGCAGATGTTGTCTCTGCATCTTGTCGCAGCCCTGAGTCATTAAGACTCACTGGGTCTTGTCTTCCACCCTGAGTGTGCCAAGAGGCTGAGAGGTGATGTGCTGACATCTTGGTGACCAAAACAGGACACCATCAAAACCTTTCTCCTGTTCCCCCTTCTGTTGCTTTCACCCTCAAGCAGTCCTGCTCATTTTCCCTTCATCTGAGATGGAAGGTTTTTAATAGAGTTTTCTCCAGGTGTAGACAGCAAGTACTACCCAGATTGGGTGAAGAGCTGTGGAAGTAAAAAGTGGAGATAGAACCTCAAATTAAGCTCCACGGCAAAGACAGTCTTTCAAGTATGTAAAGAGCATCCTTTTGTTTGAACCTGCTTCAAATGCATGCTTCTCACTTTCCCCCTGTTTTGTTTTCTAGGTCCAAGTTGCTGATACTGAATATGTCCACTTAAAGGTAATTTCGGGCCTTCCTCCGGAGAAGTTATTTCCTGACCTTGACAGTTTTCAGACTGGCAAGACCGGAGATGATCCTCTGGACTTCTTCTGAGACACGATGAGGGCAGTGCCTCACTTCTACAAGTCACGTGGGGGTTCTGACCATGACAGTAAATGCATGAAAATAAAATAAGGCTTGAAAGCTATTTGTTCCTTTGCTGTGTGTCATGCCTTGGGCCGCTGCCCGGCTAAAGCTCAAGTAGTCTCCAAAATACTGTTTCAAGCTGTTTCTGCCACCTGGGGTACTACAGCTGTAAGACAGGGCCCCCCCACTTCAGCTCCTCTTTCCAAAACTCTCTTGGGTATCTTGGGCTTTTTGGGTTTGTTTCAGTGCATTAAATGCAAGCTATTGGTGACTTGTCAGAAAGAGTGTGAGATAGACCATTTCTGGCACGGGGGAACTGGGAACCCAAACTATCCTCCTTTAAGTGCAGCTTCACTCACAGGGAGGAGAAGGGTGGTGGGGCGGGGAGCGGGAATGTGTGCCTTGAAGGAATGGGAAGACAGTCTCCTTCCACCGTTGGTCAACAGAACCCTACATTTAACAGCAGCAGGTATTAGAAACTAAACAGAGCTTGTGGACTAACAGGGAGGACATGGTGAGAAGCTTGAACTAGACTGGGGAGGAAGGCATTGTTTCCCCTGCCATCACCTATAAATAAATGCTCTGCTGGGGCTTTGAGCAGGCCGAGCTCTGCCGAGTTTGTGAGGAGACTGGGGATGCAGGATCAAGCTCTTTGTTGAGATGGTTCCCAGTCATCAGCCAAGTTTGCTGATGGAAATCTCCCTCCAGAACTGATCTACTCTGTTGTTGCTTCACTAACGAATGGTTCAGGAAACATCACACTGGGGCATGCTTTCCAGTGGGATTTTGAGGCATGGTGGGTGGGATGGGGCAGCCATCCATGTCAACATCTTCTGGAAGGACATGCCAATGGAGGTTCTCAGGCTCCAGCTTTCAACCAGAAGGATGTTCCTCAACTTGTCTTCATCAGTGTTGTATTGTGTCGTGTGACACACAACAGGCTTTTGGGCATCTGCCTGACCAGACCTCCTCTTCCCTTGGATGAGAATATATCCCGTTCTCTGTGCACGGGAAAAGGGTTTGGTTGTAAATCACCTTCCCAAAGAGGGTCCTTGCTACTGAACTTCCCTTGTGCCCAGAGTGTGTGTCACTGCCATTGGCTGCAGGAGTGGCTCTCAGGCAGCCTGTGGAGCTGGAGGCCTACAGCTCCAGGTAAGAGTACAGTGAGGGGGGGGGTGTGCCACGGCCCGAAAAAGGGGGGAGGACCGTGGCACTACACGAGTCCGGGACACGAGAGTGGGATGCAGGTAGAATGCTTTATTCCCGTGTGCACCCAGTCTTTCTCAGCTCGGGAGGGCAAAGGGCCAGAACACAGGGCGGAGCATGAGACAGACAAGCGGGGGGACAAACCAAGGTAGGGATACGGGCAAAAAGGGGAGGAGCGCAGGAGAAACCAGGGGAGGAAAGGGCGAACGGGGGCTGTCTCCTGTCTGCAGCTTTTCCAGCCAATCGGCAGAGAAAGAGGAGGAGGGAGGCGAACAGGCCGGGATGTGCCCGAAAGGCACAGATTCGGGGGAACATACAATGCGTGTGTACATAATAACTATAAAGTCTGCATCGTAAAGTCCATTCAATCACTGTACATCCTTTTCCACTTCTGAGATTTTCCCCATTCTGATTCCTAGTCCTTCACAGGGAGGGGGGCTTTTCCAGCAAATATATCATGATTTTTCTGTTGCTATAAAATCATAGAATTATCGAATTATGAAGGTTGGAAGAATTTGGTCGTCATGAAGCAGACTGAGGGGAGGAGGCTCTTTACTGGTACCACAGGCTCAGCATAGGCTGGGATGAGATCTTTGTGCTGCTGAAAGCCAGGTTTCTACTGATCTTTCTTGATGTATGATGTCAGAAATCTTTTGAAATGAGGGTGAGGAGCAGAAGGGGAAACCTTTTTTTTCAGACCAGCGTGGTGAAAGTCAAGGCTGATGTTACTGTGATCATGAAAACAGATCTTCAACTGGTACATGGAGGGCTGCTTTCCTCTAGTTCTTGAAAACATTCAGACCATGTGTCATAGAATCCAGTCACAATGAGGTGTCTTTACACTGTGAAACCAGAAGGCTGAACTGCTGACTCGGGCGTTCACAATTGTTCCTCCAGAGCTGCCTTTGTTTCTGGTTTAAAGATGACTTGTAAATACATAACTCTGGGGTTTGGATTTTGGTCAGGGTTTTTTTATATTTTTGTTTGCTTTGTTTTGTTACTGTACCAGTGTTTTTATTTACTGTAGCTTGTAGTTCTTAAACTTGCATATACAGGACCAGAGAGTAGTGGCCTGCAAGCTGTAAACTTTGTTTCTTCCTTATTGGGGTAGTACACGATGCAAGATGTTCCTCAGCTTCACGACTGTAAAGAATGCCAGAGATGTTCTGCCAGCAGAGACTCTCCAATATAACAGCAGTAAATTGAAGGGAAACTCTCATCTGTGCAAATGCAGAGTGCAGGCTGGAATGGTACGTAAGATCAGAGGTCACAAATCCTAAAAGAGGGGACAGGCGTTAGCTTGTCGATGTTGTGCAAGAGATGGAATGGGAGCCACCGTTCTTTTCATGCTTTTGTTCCAAATCCTGTTTTGTTACATCTGAAGCTGACTAGAGAGGGGTGTAGGCGAAGGTTGCCTAGGATGAGGTTAATCCATTGCCATTGATCATCTTTGATGACAGGTCTATGAAACATCAGCACTTCAAAGTGACTTCCTGAAGTATGTGTGCAGGATGAGTACTGCATCCCAGTCTTAAAACTATCACTGGATTTTGGGACAGCCATTAGCAGTTTTAGCAGCTCCCATTCCTTTTCTTCCTGAGACCTGGAAGCATTTTTCTCTTGGTTCAGGAAGATGTTGTCTCAAGGCAACTCTTTCTCCTCAAATGTTTTTCATGCCCTTCCATAGCACTGCTGCTCAAGTTTGGGAAATTCTGCAACACCTTTATCAGTAACAGCTCTCATGTATCATCATGGCTGGGCTTCGCGAACGAAGATTTGGGAAGGGCTCTACCCATGTTTGTTGTAAGTGTGTTGGTGGCTGAAAAGGCCAATACGAGACAGGCATGTCCGGTTGCAAAAGGCACAGCAGAAAGACTCCTTAGGTGGTATATTCTGCAGGACACGATTCTTTCTGCGTTGCCTTTTCTCCTCAAGGGTGATCCTGCGTGCTTTCTCAAAAGCATCAGCAGCGTTATAGATGGTGTGTCTCCAGGTGTCCCAATTGGAGGCCAGAGTAGACCAGTTTTGTTGATCAATATGGCCAAGGCTGAGATGTTGTTTCAGGGAGTCCTTGTATCTTTTCTTCGGGGCTCCTCTCGTGCGGCAGCCGGTGGCAAGTTCACCATAAAGCAAGATCTTAGGGAGGCGGTGGTCCTTCATCCTGGAGACGTACCCTGCCCAGCACAGCTGTGTTCTCAGCAACATGGCCTCAATACTTGTGACTGCTGCTTGTTCAAGAACAGATGCATTGGTCACATAATCTGACCAGTGGATGTTTAGGACTGAACGGAGACAGCATTGATGGAAGTGTTCTAGAAGACGCAGGTGGTGGCGGTAACACTGATCTATATACTGTTGAGTTTAGGGCCCCTAGAGCCCCAGATTCCCAATCTCAGGTCCTTTGTACCAAGAACAGGCCTAGAAGTCAGGTGTGAAGTCCTTGTTTAGAGCCTGTTGCATCACTTGTCACCTGTGAGGAGGAGGGTCAGTAGCCTGGGTAGCACACTGGTAAGTCTGTGCTACACAGACCCCACTGTTGTGGCCATAAACACGCTTGTTTTGGGCAAACTGCCTTGTGCTGATTGCAGCAGAAGTGCCCTTTGCCTGTGTGCAGCCCGTAGTCTCATTTCACCTATTCCCATGTACCCACCCCTGGAGACTACAAATTGTCTGGTCTCTTGGTGCTTCTCTGGTCCTTGCTCTGGAACAATATTCCTCCTGTTTTCTGGAGAGAGGGAAAGAGGCAGGAATACCAAAGGGGAATAATTTTTTTTGAGGTCTGGAAGTGTTAGTCCTCCCTTACCTGGGAGGGCTGGTAACACTTCTTAGTTGTCCCTCAGTAGGTTTTGAGCTTTTTCCATTCATATATGGTCATGAATGTGACTGTGCCATGTGTCTGTAACTGGGAATTAATCCTTCTGACTATCTATTCTGCCTGTTGCTTGTTTCAGCAGTGTACCTTGGCATTAGGAGAGCAATTGTGCACACACTGCTCCTCTAGCAAGAGGGATCGTACTTTGTCTTCCCAGCAATTGGCACTCGGGTTTCAGTTGAAATGTAAATGTTACTGTATATTCAGTTGTTATTATGTATTGCCTGAATGCAGCTCTAGAGCCTCTGCTTCTGATGGGAAAGAAGCAGAAATACCATTCTTGCAGTACTTACCTGAAACTGGAATTTAATTTTTTCTATTTCTGGTGCTGGTGTTTACCTTGGCACCTTTCTGGTTAGGCAGAGGGAAGTCAAGTCACTGAAGACAAGATGCAATCTGCTCCTCTTTTGCATTGGGAAGGATACTGAGGTAATAAAATGCGAAGTTAAACAGGACCTACAGTAGGGAAACTACTGCATGCTTTCTTCTGATCTTGAAAGGTATTGGGACTTATGGGATGTGACTTTGATCCATTTCCTAAGTACACAGAGCAGTTATCTGCACATGGATGGAGAGGCAAGAGATTCCATTTGCAGCCCAAAACAATTGTCTTGAGATGTAGGTGGCTGGAGTCCAGTGTTTGCTTTTCTTATTAACCTGAAGACTGAACTCTCTTAAGAATCTTAAAGTGCTTTTTACATTTATTAGTAGTATTATCAGCATTTTACATTGCTTCCCCTCCCCCCATTTTCCCAGTTAGTTGGCTTCTCCAGTTCAGTAATGGTAGGCTCCATGTGTTGTAGGTCCCATGATTCCATGACAGTGTGGGATGATGACCCAGGAGCCAGGCAATGGTGAAGGCTGCCTATTTATGGCCTACAGTGGGTACCCTCTACGTTATCTTTGTGGATGGAGATGGGCATGGTTGACATCAAGAAAGGATGTGTTGGCCAAAGGAGGAGGTGCTGTGTGATTCAAAGAAACCTTTGAACAATCTGAAAAGCAATTTATTACGGCCGGGGAATGCGAAAGGGGCAGATGTTTTCCCCAGTGCACTCCACTGAGCAAAGGAATACCATAACTTTTTATACAGTTTGAAAGTAGCAAGTTTAAAATGATCTATACACACACTCTTCTTGCAGTCTGCCTTATCTAAATAGACACTTAGTTTTACCTCCTATTCTTACCATTATAGAGTAGTTACCTAAAATTTTATCATTTCAAACCGTTTCAGGTTCCCCACCCCTCTCTACGTGCTAAAAAGCATTCCCTGATCCCTAAGCTCTTTTTATCTTAATTGCCCACAGTTTGGGCAGAAACTTTTAAGCAGTTTTACATTTTGCAAAGTCACACTTACATAGCTAAATTAACATAGCTAAATTTTATTTCACTTTCATTTCTATTTCAGTGGAGCCAGGATGATCATCTTTTGGCTCTGACAAACAGAACAGACCAGAACAAAATCGTAAGACTGGAACCTTGAAGCATACCAGGCCCAAAAATTAAGATTCATTGAACAGGAAACGCAACCCCCCTGCATATGTTAATAAGGTTAATGAAGTACTTGCTACCACACATGACTATGTTACTCAGCTCTCCACTTGGATCAAGCCATACGTAACAGGAGGAGGAGGAGGAGACAATTGGGCTGTATATAAGGAGGGTAGAAACTTCATCGAAGTACGGGGAAGACCCAAAAAGACCTCAGGGACAGTCAACGGACGACTCTCCTCTCTCTCATCCCAAGCAGGAACGTCTTTGTGGTAAGCCTTTGTGTCTGATTGTTACTATTCCTCGGGTTAGTAAAACATTATTATTGTTGTTAGAGCTTTGTTGCAGCAGGTGCATTTACCAATGGCAATTTCAAATCTGAATTTCTGTTGCTTCAATAAACCGAACTGTTTGTGAATCTGTGAGATTAACAGAAGTTCTCCTTGATTGCAATCAAAGTGTAAACCACACTATTTGTGAATCTGTGCTCGTGGAAGTTCCTATTGAACATGACTAGAGTTACAGTGATGACTTGCTTCTAATCCTAAATTAAGTGTAGCCATACCCAGCCCCTGTTGCCCCAAGGCCCAACTGGAATGCAGGGGGGTTTAGTTTCTGACAGATTTTTTACTCTAATTCAACACACACGTGTCTCTGTGTATGTGTGTGTGTGTGTGTGTATATATCTGCAAGATACCTGGTGACTCTGCTCAGACTGTGCTAAACTTCCCTCTTCAGAACCACCTGTCATGTCAGAGAAGTTACATGTCCTTGGGGGCTTCTCTCCCCCCGAACCTGCTACTGAAAGAATCCAGGATATCACCAACGCGGTGAGTTGTGCCTAGTCTATAGATGAAGTCCCTGTGTGCAAAGAGCTGAGTGCTGAAGGTTGTGTAAAGGCTGAGAGACCAGATGCTGATACTGAAGCAGGGTTTAAAGTGGCTACCTTCAGTGAATGTTCACATGTCGTTCAAAGCCCAGCTCTGCTATGCCAGCACCGAAGGGGCTTGTTTGAAATGAGAGGAGGCGTATTTGAAGGGAGAAGCTTGTATGTGGTAGAAGTAATTCCTCCCTGAAGGCCATGGATGGGACCAACTACATGCCAGTCTGCCCTAAAAAATGATTTAAACAGGACAAGGCAACGGATAAATGGTATGTTCTCTGCTGGCATTGTTTTCTGGAGTCACAACTATGATGCAAGGGCAAATAGTGAGCCCGTGGGGCAAGGTGAGCTTGGCACAAGGCAGGCAGGTGGTTGGTCACAGGCAGTGGTCCTGTCCTGGAAGCAGCTGTGATAGGAGCAGCCCTGCAGTACAGCAGCTCTTTTTCAAATCAGTATAAATTGCATCCTTAGGAGCTGGAGGGGAGCAACGTGGCACGGGAAGACTCCGTCTGTGTGTCCCGTCTTGTCTTCCCACTCACCTGAGCCCCTTCATCCTCTGTCTTCAAGATGAGTTCTTCCCTCTTGAGCCATTGCACCAAGTGTAACTTATGCCATCCTTGAGGAAAGACCCCCAGGAAAGGGTGGGGCTGAAACCATCAGCCAACACTGCTGCACACTCCCTGTGTAGGGCTCCCAGCAGGATTGATTTAGGCAGTGCACAGGTGGAGGGGATATCGTTTAAAACCCGCTTTGCTTACTTGAAGGTATTTAATGTCACACAAGGCTTGTGATTTAGCAGAGGGATACAAATATTCTGCTAACTCCATGTAGATCTAATTACTCTCCGGAAAATGTAGCAATTGCAATACACAGTTCAGTGATGACACTGGTGTGGTCTCCGTCGCTGGTCTGTATAACACGCTCCCTGTCACGGCACTAAGCTCCTCAGTCCCCAGGAAGGGGTCGGTGGGTTGAAGCCACTTCTAGCCAGCTGTTTTTTTCAAAATTCTTGTGTTCCCTGTTTAGTTTTTATACTGTGTGTTGGGCAGAGCCATGTATTCACTCCCTCCATGCTGGTCTGGCTAATTCAGGAGGGTGTTCCCTTTCATTTATTGAGCTCAGGAAGTTACACCACCTGAATGATTCCCTCGACTGACAGAGCTATTTGTCTAAAACACCCTGTGGTCCCCTTGGTGTTGAGGTAAAGTCAGCTTATCTGCAAAAGCTGTGGTCAGTCACACCCTGCATTATCCAGGGGGTTTTGTGGGCAGCACATTGCCCTCCCCAGCTCCCCTGAGCCTTCTCCCGTTGTGGGGCTTAATTGCTGAGAAACAGCTGGGCTCACCAGAGTTGGGTATATGTACATGGGGGAGGGCTGAAGTATGGGGTAACAGGTCAGTCAGAGGGGAGATAATTTACTGCAGAACAGAAAGAGAAAAGGATGATCTACAATTGCTTGGGGGACACCAATTGAATGACTCAGGAGCAGTATCACTGTTCCTCCTCTGCTGGCACAAGTGGTTGTAGGAGCAGCACTTGTAGAGATGAGGAATTCCCTGTTACCTATGGAGGGGAGACAATGTCTCAGGCCAGCTGGGCCTTGAAATTTGACTAATGAGTCTTGTGAAATGCCTCAAGGGCCTCCTCTGAACATGACTGGGCTAGTGCAGCATCCCAGATACTGAGCTACATTTTCAGTGCTGGGTTGTGTCATTCCTGGGTGATCCAAAGTATTTCAGCACTAGGCTGTCAGTGAGCAAACAGGCTCAAATTCCAAATATGAATGCTGGTTTCAGGCTGTGCTAATGCTCCCAAAGTACAGGGCAAATATAGCATTTGAAATGTGGATGTAGAGATTTTCTGTTTGTTTCCAGAAGAGGAATGATCTTAATTTTGGTGTTCTTTCATTCTCAGTAACTTCAGGAGAATGAAAACAGATGATTCTTTGCTCCTTATTTTCTGCCTTGTACTGAGAGCAGGAGAGAGAACTCTTCCTGGTCCCTCCCCATCACAGAGGCTTGGGTATAGTTCTCTAAGGAAAATACCCTTATGCTGGGGCAGTCCTTCTGTGCTTCCAGACTGTGCATATTTTAGAAGAAAAGCATCAGAGGACCTGAGTGCAGCTCTGAGGTTGTGAAACAGAGCAGGGATTTTCAGCCTCCCAGGCTGACTGGCGTGGGCACTGGTGTTCCAGGTGAGGGGAGGTGGCTTGCACTTCTGTGTAACAGTGTGGTTGACACAGGGTGTACCCTGATAGGGGGCATGGCTTGGTGCCTCCATCCTTTGATCCAGAATCAACAGGCCAGCAAGTAGCAGTTTGCTGTCTGTAGTGAGCAGGAGACTGTTCAGCTGGACAGCTTTGGAGCCAGGGAAATTAGTTAGGAAATCTCCTTCTCACAGGATTTTAAATAGTGCTGGAGGCAGTGCTAGGAGGGAGGGCTGGAGGTCCTGGTGTAAATTGATTTAGAGTGGGGGTTCTGGATTTATTTTATCAAGGGTGTATGTTTGAAAGGATGGGATTTGAAGTGGTAGATGTGAGAGAAAAGCCTGAGTATGAACGTGCCAACCATTTTTCCTTCTCTTTTACAGGTGAAACTGCAGCTTGAAGTCAGGGTAAACAGGAGATATGACATCTTTAGAGCCATACTCTACAGGATTCAAATAGTTGCTGGGGCAAATTACTTGATTAAGGTTTGTATATGATATAGGAGGGAGTGCTTTGCAGTTCAACAATATAGGTGACGTGCAGAGTAGCTTAGAGCTGGAAAGAGAAGCAGATGTGGTAGAAAAGCATCTGATGTGAGTAATAGAGTTGAGGAGTATCTCAGGATGTTTATAAAATTCCTCTCTTCGGCACTACTGTAGAAGAGGAATAGTTCTTTCTGTATTTTCCAAACCCTCTCTCTGCTGTGGAGGAAGAACCGGTCCTGCTTAGTTTAGATCCCTCTGAGAGCACCATTCATCCCCTACTAGAAAACCTTGCGCACGTCTGTGAGCAGCTTTCTGTGAAGTAGCACGGAAGAACTTGCTGGGTGTGGTTTGCATCTGAAGGCCAGCAGGCACTGCTGAGCAGCAGGCTGGCCTTCTGGAGCAGAGCACACATGGCATGGGACTGCTGTCTCTCAAACCCCACGTGTGTGGGGACATGTGCCTGGTGGGACAGGCTCCCCTGACAAGGGTTGGAATCGTTTTAGGAAAGAAATTGTCTGGTAGCATTTGGGGGAGAGTAATTCTGCAGAGAGATGTGGTGAGCATTTGCTCCACGCTTCTCATATTTAGTTCATGGCAGGAAGGACAGACAGTGCCAAACGTCTTTCCCAGGTGCTTCTTTAAAGTAACACCAGTTGTTTGTGCTCTGTGGGCACCAGGGGACTGTACTGACCGACTACCTCTTCTGTGGCTAGTCAGAGTCTTAGCTACATGATTGATATTTATCCTTTCCTTGCTCCTGTGAGATGGGCTTTCACGTTGTGGACAAAGCACTGAGTAATGAAGAGTAACAATTTACTAGAGGGCTGAAGTACAGCCAGAAGTCATGCCCAGTTGCATCCCAGATTTGTCTCTTCTTTGCCAATCTGCAGACAAGGCTTTCAGGTTGTCATTGCTTCTCAGGACCACATGCTGGTTTGGGATGGATCTTCCTGTACTTTCTGAGAGCAGATGTTGTCTCTGCATCTTGTCCCAGCCCTGAGCCATTAAGACTCACTGGGTCTTGTCTTCCACCCTGAGTGTGCCAAGAGGCTGAGAGGTGATGTGCTGACATCTTGGTGACCAAAACAGGACACCATCAAAACCTTTCTCTTGTTCCGCCTTCTGGTGCTTCCACCCTCAAGCAGTCCTGCTCATTTTCCCTTCATCTGAGATGGAAGGTTTTTAATAGAGTTTTCTCCAGGTGTAGACAGCAAGTACTACCTAGACTTGGGTGAAAAGCTGTGGAAGCGAAAAGTGGAGATAGAACCTCAAATTAAGCTCCACGGCAAAGACAGTCTTTCAAGTATGTAAAGAGCATCCTTTTGTTTGAACCTGCTTCAAACGCATGCCCCTCACTTTCCCCCTGTTTTGTTTTCTAGGTCCAAGTTGCTGATACTGAATATGTCCACTTAATGGTGTTTGTGGGCCTTCCTCCGGAGAACTTATATCCTGCCCTTGTCAGTTTTCAGACTGGCAAGACCAGAGATGATCCTCTGGACTACTTCTGAGCCACGATGAGGGCAGTGCCTCACTTCTACAAGTCACGTGGGGGTTCTGACCATGACAGTAAATGCATGAAAATAAAATAAAGCTTGAAAGCTATTTGTTCCTTTGCTGTGTGTCATGCCTTGGGCCGCTGCCCGGCTAAAGCTCAAGTAGGCTCCAAAACACTGTTTCAAGCTGTTTCTGCCACCTGGGGTACTACAGCTGTAAGACAGGGCCCCCCCACTTCAGCTCCTCTTTCCAAAACTCTGTTGGGTATCTTGGGCTTTTTGGGTTTGTTTCAGTGCATTAAATGCAAGCTATTGGTGACTTGTCAGAAAGAGTGTGAGATAGACAATTTCTGGCACGGGGGAACTGAGAACCCAAACTATCCTTTAAGTGCAGCTTCACTCACAGGGAGGAGAGGGGTGGTGGGGCGGGGAGCAGGAATGTGTGCCTGAAGGAATGGGAAGACAGTCTCCTTCCCCCGTTGGTCAACAGAACCCTACATTTAACAGCAGCAGGTATTAGAAACTAAACAGAGCTTGTGGACTAACAGGGAGGACATGGTGAGAAGCTTGAACCAGACTGTGGAAGAAGGCATTGTTTCCCCTGCCATCACCTATAAATAAATGCTCTGCTGGGGCTTTGAGCAGGCCGAGCTCTGCCGAGTTTGTGAGGAGACTGGGGATGCAGGATCAAGCTCTTTGTTGAGATGGTTCCCAGTCATCAGCCAAGTTTGCTGATGGAAATCTGTCTCCAGAACTGATCTACTCTGTTGTTGCTTCACTAACGAATGGTTCAGGAAACACCACACTGGGGCATGCTTTCCAGTGGGATTTTGAGGCATGGTGGGTGGGATGGGGCAGCCATCCATGTCAGCATCTTCTGGAAGGACATGCCAATGGAGGTTCTCAGGCTCCAGCTTTCAACCAGAAGGATGTTCCTCAACTTGTCTTCATCAGTGTTGTGTCGTGTGACACACAACAGGCTTTTGGGCATCTGCCTGACCAGACCTCCTCTTCCCTTGGATGAGAATATATCCCGTTCTCTGTGCATGAGAAAGGGTTTGGTTGTAAATCACCTTCCCAAAGAGGGTCCTTGCTACTGAACTTCCCTTGTGCCCAGAGTGTGTGTCACTGCCATTGGCTGCAGGAGTGGCTCTCAGGCAGCCTGTGGAGCTGGAGGCCTACAGCTCCAGGTAAGAGTACAGTGAGGGGGGGGTGTGCCACGGTCCGAAAAAGGGGGGAGGACCGTGGCACTACACGAGTCCGGGACACGAGAGTGGGATGCAGGTAGAATGCTTTATTCCCGTGTGCACCCAGTCTTTCTCAGCTCGGGAGGGCAAAGGGCCAGAACACAGGGCGGAGCATGAGACAGACAAGCGGGGGGACAAACCAAGGTAGGGACACGGGCAAAAAGGGGAGGAGCGCAGGAGGAACCAGGGGAGGAAAGGGCGAACGGGGGCTGTCTCCTGTCTGCAGCTTTTCCAGCCAATCGGCAGAGAAACAGAGGAGCAGGGAGGCGAACAGGCCGGGATGTGCCCGAAAGGCACAGATTCTGGGGGAACATACAATGCGTGTGTACATAATAACTATAAAGTCTGCATCGTAAAGTCCGTTCAATCACTGTACATCCTTTTCCACTACTGAGATTTTCCCCGTTCTGATTCCTAGTCCTTCACAGGGAGGGGGGCTTTTCCAGCAAATATATCATGATTTTTCTGTTGCTATAAAATCATAGAATTATCGAATTATGAAGGTTGGAAGAATTTGGTCGTCATGAAGCAGACTGAGGGGAGGAGGCTCTTTACTGGTACCACAGGCTCAGCATAGGCTGGGATGAGATCTTTGTGCTGCTGAAAGCCAGGTTTCTACTGATCTTTCTTGATGTATGATGTCAGAAATCTTTTGAAATGAGGGTGAGGAGCAGAAGGGGAAACCTTTTTTTTCAGACCAGCGTGGTGAAAGTCAAGGCTGATGTTACTGTGATCATGAAAACAGATCTTCAACTGGTACATGGAGGGCTGCTTTCCTCTAGTTCTTGAAAACATTCAGACCATGTGTCATAGAATCCAGTCACAATGAGGTGTCTTTATGCTGTGAAACCAGAAGGCTGAACTGCTGACTCGGGCGTTCACAATTGTTCCTCCAGAGCTGCCTTTGTTTCTGGTTTAAAGATGACTTGTAAATACATAACTCTGGGGTTTGGATTTTGGTCAGGGGTTTTTTATATTTTTGTTTGCTTTGTTTTGTTACTGTACCAGTGTTTTTATTTACTGTAGCTTGTAGTTCTTCAACTTGCATATACAGGACCAGAGAGTAGTGGCCTGCAAGCTGTAAACTTTGTTTCTTCCTTATTGGGGTAGTACACGATGCAAGATGTTCCTCAGCTTCACGACTGTAAAGAATGCCAGAGATGTTCTGCCAGCAGATTCTCCAATATAACAGCAGTAAATTGAAGGGAAACTCTCATCTGTGCAAATGCAGAGTGCAGGCTGGAATGGTACGTAAGATCAGAGGTCACAAATCCTAAAAGAGGGGACAGGCGTTAGCTTGTCGATGTTGTGCAAGAGATGGAATGGGAGCCACCGTTCTTTTCATGCTTTTGTTCCAAATCCTGTTTTGTTACATCTGAAGCTGACTAGAGAGGGGTGTAGGCAAAGGTTGCCTAGGATGAGGTTAATCCATTGCCACTGATCATCTTTGATGACAGGTCTGTGAAACGTCAGCACTTCAAAGTGACTTCCTGAAGTATGTGTGCAGGCTGAGTACTGCATCCCAGTCTTAAAACAATCACTGGATTTTGGGGCATTAGCACTGCCATGGAAAGAAAACAGATTGATCTGCCTGTGTAAACTTCAGCATCATCTTGCTGACAATTAGTGTTGATTTTCCTTCCCTTTTGCACAACTCTGTGTCATCTGGGAGAAAAAAAAATTCTTATGCTTTGAAGTAAAAAACCAGCAAATTCAGAAATATGCAGTCCAGTGAATGATTGGGCACAACATTAACATCTTTAGTTTCACACCTAGAGGTTTTCCAAGGTTATAAATTAACCTTCCTACACCTTGTGCTCAGTGTATTTCTTGCTAATTAAAGTGTTCTCCAGGAGCGTACTGCTGTCCTTGGGACCATAACATCCCTTCCCAACGAAGTAACTGAGGTCTGTATCCTGGTGAGCGGACAGGCTTATAAAATACTCTGTTTTAGCACTGGTGCTTGTGTGGTTCTTGGACACATTCTGTGACTTCTGGCCTCAGTAAGGTGAGCTGGCTCTTCCAGTCACTTGTCTGTCCTGCTGTGTGAATAAGACGCATGGTAGCAACTGTGTTGGAACATGATCAGCATTTGGGTGAATCAGCAGGGTCTTGTGCAAAGGAGGGATTTTGAGCTCATCAGCTTGAATTGTCATTAGCTGCACAAATGAGGCTATGAGCAACTCCGTATCTGGAGAGATGAAGTTGGTGAAATTGGCAGAAATCCAGTTTTAACAGCTCCCATTCTCATTATTCCTGAGACCTGGAAGCATTTTTCTCTTGGTTCAAAAAGATGTTGTCTCAAGACAACTGTTTCTCCTCAGATGCTTTTCATGCCCTCCCATAGCACTGCTGCTCAAGTTTGGGAAATTCTGCAACACCTTTATCAGTAACAGCTCTAACACTGATCTATATACTGTTGAGTTTAGGGCCCCTAGAGCCCCAGATTCCCAATCTCAGGTCCTTTGTACCAAAAACAGGCCTAGAAGTCAGGTGTGAAGTCCTTGTTTAGAGCCTGTTGCATCACTTGTCACCTGTGAGGAGGAGGGTCAGTAGCCTGGGTAGCACACTGGTAAGTCTGTGCTACACAGACCCCACTGTTGTGGCCATAAACACGCTTGTTTTGGGCAAACTGCCTTGTGCTGATTGCAGCAGAAGTGCCCTTTGCCTGTGTGCAGCCCGTAGTCTCATTTCACCTGCTCCCACGTACCCACCCCTGGAGACTACAAATTGTCTGGTCTCTTGGTGCTTCTCTGGTCCTTGCTCTGGAACAATATTCCTCCTGTTTTCTGGAGAGAGGGATGGCAGCAATACCAAAGGGGAATAATTTTTTTTGTGGTCTGGAAGTGTTAGTCCTCCCTTACCTGGGAGGGCTGGTAACACTTCTTAGTCGTCCCTAATAGGGGACTAGTAGGTTTTGAGCTTTTTCCATTCATGTATAGTCATGAATGTGACTGTGCCATGTCTGTAACTGGGAATTAATCCTTCTGACTCTATATTCTGCCTGTTGCCTGTTTCAGCAGTGTACCTTGGCATTAGGAGAGCAATTGTGCACACACTGCTCCTCTAGCAAGAGGGATCGTACTTTGTCTTCCCAGCAATTGGCACTCGGGTTTGAGTTGAAATGTAAATGTTACTGTATATTCAGTTGTTATTATGTATTGCCTGAATGCAGCTCTAGAGCTTCAGCTTCTGATGGGGAAGAAGCTGAAATACCATTCTTGCAGTACTTACCTGAAGCTGGAATTTAATTTTTTCTATTTCTGGTGCTGGTGTTTACCTTGGCACCTTTCTCGTTAGGCCGAGGGAAGTCAAGTCACTGAAGACAAGATGCAATCTGCTCCTCTTTTGCATTGGGAAGGATACTGAGGTAAGAAAATTCCAAGTTGAACGGGACCTGCAGTAGGGAAACTACTGCATGCTTTCTTCTGATCTTGAAAGGTATTGGGACTTATGGGATATGACTTTGATCCATTTCCTAAGTGCACAGAGCAGTTATCTGCACATGAGTGGAGAGGCAAGAGATTCCATTTGCAGCCCAAAACAATTGTCTTGAGATGTAGGTGACTGGAGTCCATTGTTTGCTTTTCTTATTAACCTGAAGACTGAACTCTCTTAAGATTCTTAAAGTGCTTCTTACATTTCTTATTAATATTATCAGCATTTTACATTGCTTCCCCTCCCCCCATTTTCCCAGTTAGTTGGCTTCTCCAGTTCAGTAATGGTAGGCTCCATGTGTTGTAGGTCCCATGATTCCATGACACTGTGGTTTGATGACCCAGGAGTCAGGCAATGGTTAAGGCTGCCTATTTATGGTCTACAGTGGGTACCCTCTACGTTATCTTTGCGGATGGAGATGGGCAT